AATTAGTGAAACGGGTTAAAAGTTATGGGAAAAAAACGATTTTTAGTTTCAAACTTTGGAGATCTGTATCTCAGTTATTTTCAATTTTTCGATACATGTTTTCCTTGAAAATTCGTTTTGTTTTTTGATTCTCTACCGACTGGCAAAATTAAGATCAAAAAACCCGGGACACCCTGTATAAATAGAAATTGAAACGAATGATGCAACCTAATCCTTGGGTTATCAAATATTAAATCTTCTTTAATAAACATTCTTCAGACCTTAAGTTTGATCCCAAATAAAACTAGAAAAAATAGATTATTTCACTTATACACTTATATATTAGGGTGATTAAAAAAATCAAATATTTTGTTCTACTTCAGACACTAAAAAATAGGTTCTCAGGCACCAAATATGAGCTCTTAATATTTAATAATTTCAAATAAGCAAAAACCTCTGTTTAGGACATTATAGATGCATGTGAAGGTCAGTTAGAATTTATATGCAGATGAGAGTGTTGCTGTTTTATAATTCAAAAGTTTAAGTTCATTAATTTGCTATTTAAAAACCTATCCACCGTGAAGTGTAATATGTCAGTAAGTAGATTTTTTTAATAAATATGTATTTTAATAAATAGTATGTACAGGGTGATCCCCTATAATGTCACCCCCCTTTAACTTTTTTATTTTAAGTGTCCCAAAAAAATTTACAGTGTGGTTATGTTAATTTTTTTTCAATGGATCACCCTATATATGAATTTATTTTTCGATTCCTTGTAAAATTCTAAGCATATTTTATATATCATACCATATACCCAAATTCAACCGTTTCAACCGGCGACATTATAGGGGATCACCCTGTACAATTGTATTTTAAAAAAATATGAAGGTGTCAAAAGATACAATAACTTATTTCAAATATACAAAGGGATGTTTAAAAAAAACATACGAAATCCTAACCTCCGTGAAGCTATCTTCCGTGAAGCTCTAATATTCAAAATGTATGATTTCTTAAAATTCTTGCATTAGTGCAGAACCATTTATGTTATGTTATTACTAGACCTGGTGGCTTCCCAAAAACCCCATTCTATACTAACAGTGACACAACCAAAAATAAAAAATAATCATTTTTACTTGGGGGACATCTCAATATATTCACCCTAATAGGAAGATCCTCCTCATCACAGTTTTCCATTTTTTCTTTAGTCCCTATTTTATTATAATCAATCGTTTAATCAAATCTTTATACATATTTTTGTAGGATTTTTTTTTTAATTTTGTTACTCATTGAAAAATAATTAATAAATGAGTTTGACATATTTTTGTAAGAAATTTAACGCCCTACAATAAGTATTATAAATATCTTCTCAACGGTTAGGGTAATCAATTAAACCCATTAGACCTTTTTTGTAAAGAGTTAAATTTCCTATAAAAATGCGTCATACTTATTTGACAATACATATTTTTTAAATGGTTAGAGAAATCGCTTAAACACATCAATCCTTTTTGTAGAGCATTTAATGAAATGTGGTCTTTGTTAAAAAGAACTAAAGAAAAAATGGAAAACTTCGATGATATTAAGAGCTAAAATTTGGTAAGCATAAAAACCAATTTTTTAGTGTCAGAAAAAAATGTATATTCGATTTTTTTTAAGTGAAATATGCAATTTTTTTTAATAACAATATTTTATCATATTGAGAATCTCTTTATTAAAGGTTTTATAAAGGTTTGAAGATGACAAAAGTTATAATCCTCATTATTTTTTCCTATTTCATAAGGTGTTTGAACTAGTAATGAGTTTAATGAACCTTAAATTTCTAGAGAGAGGAGGAGAAGAAATTGAAAAATATGGGTCAAGGAAATTAATACCTTAAAATCTTTTTTAAGAAAACAACGTCACTTGAAAATAAAAAACGTTTTTAGAGCAAAACGCCACACAAAAAATCTGCGAAATCACAATTTCTCAATTAAAATATTAGGACAATTGGTCATGGTCGCATCAGCGAGGCTTGTCAATCAGTTCACAAGCGGATTCGTCAAAATTTTCGTAAATGACTTTCACTGCATTTTAATGAATCACCTGGAAAGTAAACAGACATTTCATTGCTGTTTTTATTCCTTTACTTAAACATGTCTTCTATGTGTCAAGCTCTAGGGTAAGGACCTTACTATAAGTTCATTAACTTGTATAATAAAATTAATTTTGTGATGATAGTTGGAAACAAACTCGCCTTAAATATTATTTAGTTGATATTTTCCATGTATCTCAATTCTTTGTTTTTTATATTGTATCCGTGAGTTTGCTCCCAACTATCACCAAATAAAATTTTATCATAAATGGAAAAATAAAACGTAAAATCTATAGAAAGCATTTAAGTGCTGCGTACTCTTAAGGTGGTTAATATTATTATATTGTCCATTGTCCGCATGAAATATAATTTAAACCACATTGTGTTTCATGTTGGTTTTGGTCTACTTCAATTGTTTATCCGCGAATTCCTATGGTAAACTGATTAAGATGCTAATTGTGCATGATGCTACGTGGTCATTCGTGATCTATATACACACGCGCTTTAGAAATTGTATTTTATATAAATTTCTCTATTTTTACTGCAATATTAATTACCTCTTGTAGTTTTTAAAACTTATTTTTCTGTATTCCGCTCATTTTGAAAAGTTGACTGATTTTTGGCCATTTTTTGGACCACAAAATGTGTTTAAATTATTGTTTTTGTAATATTTTATTATTATTACTAGAAATGGGATTTTATTGTTATTAGCTATTTGTCTACGCTAATCATAAATTTAGGTGCAATGGAATAAAATGCATTTTGAAGAAAAGAATTTTATTTTACCTGTTTTACCTCAATCTTTATTTTTAAGAGAAATGGACCTAATTTTTACATTTTCCCACCGAAACTAGTGTAATTTTACCTAATTCACCTAAATTCTTATTTTTAACAGAAATAAACCAAATTTTCAAATTTTACAATCAAAAACATGTTTTTTTTGTAATATTAGGGTTGTCGTATTAGGATGTCGCCATGTAGTTATTTTTGTTTTACAGGATTGGTTGGGAATGGTTGGTACTGGGAATCGCGAACAGCGACGCGAATGTGACATTCCTCTGCAATGTTGCCAGATCTCATGCTTTTGGATGAGATCTCAAGTTTTTTATCAATGTCATGTTATCAGGTTTTATTTAAAAATCTCATGGATTTTCACAAATTCAAGAAAATTTGTGCTTATTTATAGAGATGGGATTTTAGTTTTATTAGCTATTTGTCTAGGCTAAATCGTTTTGAAAAAAAAGATTTTATTTGAAACTGATTTTATTTTACCCATTTTACCTAAATTTAAATTTTTAAGAGAAATGGACCTAATTTTTAAATTTTACCTAAAATATTGTGATTTTACCTATTTCACCCAAATTCTTGGTTTTAAAACCATACCATGAAAACATATTTTTTTTGTAAAATTGGGGTATTTGTATTTATGAATGACGTGAATGACGCGAGTGACCCGAATGTGACATTTCTATGCAATGTTGCATTTTTACAAATTCTGGCAAAATTTTGCTTTTTCATGAGAAAGTATTTTTTTAACATTTCGATCATAATACATTTAAATTTTTAAGCAATTATAGGTATGCTCATTTGCATTTGCATTATAATGGTATACCATAATATTTATAATATTTATAATATATATTATGATATTTTTATAAGATATATTCGTAAGTTATCTTTTAATTTTTCAAATCATAAAAATCTTGTTAAATAAAATTTTATACAATAATTAATTAAATAATTTTACCACCTAAAAGTTATTTTTTCTACTCCCACCTTTAAAACGCCCTTTATCGTACATGTTTCCATGACACTAAGTGATCTTTTAAATACACATTGACAAGTTGTGGCTTTACGGCGCTTTAGTCACGGGCTGAAGTTAGCAACAGGTTTTTAGTCATGGGCTGAAGTTAGTTTTAAGTTAGTTGACAGTTGTCAAATGTCATACAATCGTTAAAATAAAATGCCTTTCTTGTAAAATAATACTAAATGTGAAATACAAAAATACATAAATACAAAAAATTTAAATAGTTTCTTAACGCCAATATTTGAAAAGTTTATATGAACATTGTACTGACCTTTTAATTTCACCGGCAGTAAACTATAACTTAAATTCGGGCACGGACTCCACTGTAAAGTCCTCATAAAACATTTCCTTTACTTTCACTGTGAAAAACTGTCAATTTTCAAGATACATTTCGATTTATAACCTTTATAATTGTGTTTATAAAATGTAAAAATGTGAATCTGAATGTGACATTTGACAGTTTCCCTTGTTGTTTCATAGATGGCGCTCTATACAAATTTTTGATTTAAATCATTTTAAGATAATAAGTATTTGTCGTAGAAAAAGTATAGTATGCACTTCGTTTATAAACTTATTAACTTAAGCACTCGCTCGCAAGCTCGCTCGTGCCTAAATTAAATTCGTGTATAAAATGGCGTTTATTAAACTTGATACATAATATACTATTTCAGTACCCATTTTTATTATTAATGGAACCCAAAATCCCATCCCTAATTATTACACTTTTAATTTTTTTAAAAGTGTTTGAAATCAACCATAAATAAAATAATTTATAACTCTTAATATGGAAAAAAATGCAAAAATAAAATCGGTAACCTGACAAAATAAATGACCGTGATTTATCATACCAAAAGTGCAGTAATTTGTGTTCTTGAGATAAATAAAATTAACAATGAACATAAAAACATTTAGTTTTCTGTTTTAAAACCAATTTTGGTATTTTGTCTTGTCTTTTGTATTTTTATGTGTGACACTAATGTATTTGCGATCTATAAAAGTATGGTTTCGATGTCATTTAGCATCTGCACTATTAGTTATTTAACCGTAATTTATGAGTACCTACATAAACAATAAAAGTTTATGAAGTGTATTCGTCTGTGTTATTTTGTGCGGCGATGGGAGGATAAAACATTGAGGATCAGAGGCGCGGAGGAGGGATGATGCACGCACCAAAAACTCGCCCGAGGTGGGACCCAAACCCGACTATATAAAACTTGCTCGTGGTGCAATGGCTCCATATCAGTAGCCACCTTCCCAGCCATCATGTTAGTTAAGTGTTTTGTTGTCGTCGCTTTAGTGGCGCTTGGGGCGCAAGCCCGTACCACCGCAGGTGCCACCTCGAACGCAATCCACGAGGAAAAAGCGCGCAGCGACGAGTCTACAAGTTATTTCGGCGAACTGAAGTATGTGTATAAAGTGTATCAAGAATGTGCCGCTGCGGATTTTTCCTCGTGCCTTAAACTGAAGTTGGTTGCTGCCTTGGACCGCGTTGCCAGATCGTACTCCGACGTATCAATCCTAGAGGGAGTTACGTTCGTTAAAAATGCCGAAGCTGCTCCTGCAGAGGTCAAAAGTGAAGCTGAAATAGAATCCACCCTTCCCAGAGCCTTGGGAGAGAAGGATCAAGCCTTGAACGGTTTGATCGCCAGTAGAGTCAGCAACTTCTTTGAAACGCACACCCTACAGGTACTAACTTACTTTAACTTTAACAACAAAATCTTAATATTATTATTTTCTTCAAGGTAAAACTCCCAACAGTTAGCGACTTGCAGAGATCCTTCAGCGAGGAAGGTCGCGGTAAGAAGAAGAAGTCTTCCGGACTGCTTCTTCTCCCCCTCATCGCTATGGGTACCCTGATCCCTCTAGCTCTTGGAGCGCTCGCTTTACTAGCCGGTAAAGCCCTGATTGTCTCCAAACTCGCCTTGGTACTTGCTGGTATCATTGGATTGAAAAAACTGCTCAGTTCTGGACATGGTGGTGGCCACGAATCCGGGCATGTTGAGGTGGTCGCTGGCGGGCATTCATCTGGATGGGGAAGATCGTACGAAAAGGAACAAGCTGCCCAAAAGTTGGCATACAATGCCTATGCTCCGAAAGAACCCACGAGCTAGTTTATTAGATTAGTTATTTAAGTAATTTATTCTATAATTTTAATGTACCGACAAGACTTAATAAATTGATAATTGTTTTACAGATTGTATAATTTCATTTTCGATGAAAGTCCTATTACGATTTCACTTTCAACGCTTCTTGTTTCTAGCTAGTTTTTTTGGAAAATATACTAAGATAAGAAGTAAACCAGCACATTAAATACTTACCTATAAGTAGTTTATTGGATGTGCTTATTCAATATTCAAGTTGTTACGCCCTGACTATTGTAACATGCAATTTGTCTTAACATTATTATGCGTATAGAAATAGAGTAATAGATGCATGGAAATCATGCGAGTTCGAAACAATTTTTTTGAACTTGTTATTTACTAGATCAATACCGCGTGATCGACTTGATTTCACTTCTATGTCATGGTTAATTGTTAGGAATTATCACAATAACGCTGGTTTTTAATTGAAGCGTCCAATATTTATAAATTAATAATAATGGTACGATGAATAATTTTCCCTACTTACACTTTTTCCATACTATTAGTAGTAGTAGTAAGTAGTATAAGTATTTTTTCTACAAGCGTTCTATAATTTAAACTTTATTATTGTCAACACTCACTACTTACCTTACTTTCTACTTTTATTATGATGGTATGTTTTATGTAAATTTTAACAAATAAAATTGTGCCTTGAAGATAAAACATTGCATGCCACTTCGCTCAATTGTACCACGTTCAAACTTAAATTCTTAGTTTATATATCATATAATTCATCAACATAATGTAAAAAAGATAAGCGGGGCTTTAAGGTTCTCTTTAGTTTTGGGAATAGGAAAAAATCAGACAGAGACATGTCTGGCGAATATGGATTGTTTTTGGCCAAAAATGTTGTTCAAAATTTAACAATTTTAGAACAAATTTTTCTGCTACGCGTTTCATACTTAAAACATTCGAAAAAATTTCATGGGATGAGCCAATCGATATACCAACATCATCAGCTACTTCTCTGATGGTTTATAACCATTTCTTTCACTTTTTCCATGTTTTTATCGGTTGTTAATGTGCTTGTGCGTTCGGGGCGTTCGTCATCTTCAACGTCTTCACGGCCTTCTTGGAAACTCTTATACCACTTGTAAACTCTTGTTTTACTTATAGCAGACTCACTATAGGCCTTTGTTAACATTTCACAGAATTTATTTCATTTTTTATGCAAAATTGGATACAAATTCTTTGATCCATTTCTTTTAACGAACGAAAAATGGCCGAGCTCATAAAACACGTCTAACCTTAGCGGCTGCCACAGACAAAGTAAACAATGAAAACTGCTAAAGTTTTTACCATACTTCGGGGGCATGTATACCAACATAATAAAGAAAATTTTATGACAACCGGACCCTCCGAACTCGCGAAATTTAACAATTCCCGTTATTTTCTGAACACACCTTTATAGCTGAAAATGTCTTTAAAAATGGCTAAAAACATACTTTTGGCGGTGGATCATATAGGTTATAAAACTCTGACTTTTGACGTTTTGGTATTCTAAGGTCCCAAATCTAGGGACCCTAAGGTAATATTCATGTAAACGCCATCTATCGCCCTGTAGTTGCACTTACACTTTCACTTGATGCAATGATTTTAATCACATTGACAACCGTGCCCGATCAGCTGATTGATGACGTGTACGTCGTTTCCTTTTAAATTTACTATATGACAGGTTCCCTTCTTCTCTGTAGAGCAAGTTCTGAAACACCTTGTATATAAAAAAGAAAATTCTGCAAAAATTTGTTTTTTTAATCGTCCGTTTAATGACACTTTTGTGACATTTTGCAGAATTCATTGCCATGGTAGTAAATTACTTTTTCTTCCGCTGACGAGAGGCAATAAAAATTCACACGAACACGACACAATTAAGTCAATATTACCAGAAACAGTTAAAACCAACATGATTGATAATATTTTGACCACTAAGTTCACCGATAAATACAATTCAGCACGTGTAAGTTTAAGTGTAAAATATATAATATATTCTGCAGTTTACATTTCTAATACACTCATACATAAGGAAACATGGGTGCAAGATGCTACTTAAGTCGCGAATATCTCTTAGAAAACTATTTTAAAACCGTTTTAAACTGTACTACAAGCATTCTTTAGATCATTGATCTTGCTAAGTAATTGTATTGATTGAGAATTTTCTTCTAAATTATATTGTATCTAATTTAAAAAGAATGGGTATACCTACTGTTTATAAAGCATAAAAAAGTAAATTAAAATGTTAATAAAATATAATCATAATATTTCTTAAATTACATTATAACTAATTGTGAATTATTTATCACGTGAAATTGTTTATTTTATTAAAACATGCACTGAAAATTATACTCTTTATACAACAGAAAATTATCCCAATTAAATTGTAATGAATACATATCGTTTGTAAAATAAAAAGTAAGTAGAGCTAAGAGTGCAATTTGTATTTAGTAAATACAAATGCTTTCCTTGTATAATTAATTTAACAATTTAATTTAATTTAATTTAATAAAAAAAGTTGTTCCATGCATTTATTAATTTTTTTAACAGCCGCTTATTGTAAAAAAGTAAATTAAGGACGGCATGGCGAATCGATTTTGATATAACTGTCAAACCAATGACTGTGATACCAACTATCTAAAGTAAAATTGTCCGCGTGCGACAAAATGACGTCTTATGACATTAGTTCTTTAATATACTATTTTGTTGTTTTGCTTTTATCCCCTTCAATTATGAAATCTATAACTGTGAGTTTGCTCCCAACTATCACGAAAACAGGTTCTATTGGTAGTAAAAATAGAACATTATTTTTTAATTGGTGCGGATGTGTCAGAAAGACGACTGTAAAAGTAAATCAGTTATCCTAGAAAAATGTAATCATTTCTCGTCGGTAAGGAAATTATGTCTCTGCTTTCTCCCAGACAGCCTGGAATTGTTTCCAAGAAAAAGAACATCTTTTTACCCGCGAAAAAATTTGTCCCATTTGCAACTTCCGCATTTTTATTTGTAAGGGTATAAATTATCGTCTTTTTGAGTTTTATAAGTAATTGCTAATAATTTGTTAAGTTGTGCAAAGCATAGAACATTTTTCAAAGCTATAATAAAAAGTTAGTGAAGTGTCCTTCGACAGATTTTTACTAGGTATTTAAACTATAACAAAAAATGGAGTAAGTAATTATCTAATTAAAATTAGAAATTGTCCAACATATTTTATAGTTGTCCATTGAAACTTATCTGTATTAAATTTCCATACCTACATCTTTATCTTAAATGGAATAATGTTAAATCACCTTTCTTGGACAAAGTCAAATAATCAATTAAACTATACACTGCTCAGCAATAAATATTTACTTCTACATGTTGTATTCTTTTATTATATTACATTGAAAAGATGTGACTTTATTTCCTTTTGGTTACGGGCTGAAGTTAGCAATAGTGGCTTTTGGGCATTTTAGTCACGGGCTGAAGTTAGCTTTATTGTTGTCAAATATTTAACAATTAAAATTGGCTTTACATTTAAATGTATTTTTATGTACTTTCTTAAAATGAAATAGTCAAAATTCTACTATATGAATTAGTACCGGCTTTTTTATTAATAAAATAGTCGTTTTCACTTTTAAATAGTTATTTTAACTACTTAAATAGTTAAAGTTTGACTAATTTAAGATAAGTCACCATCTTTCTATTTCTGAGAGTTAAAAGTAACTAATTTCTTTAATCGTTTGCGGCCAACAACAAATTATTGTTTTAGTTAAATGCATATAGGCTTCATGGTTAAACAAAGGTGTAAAAAGTTTAGCTCAAAACAGCAACACAAAAAATATCAACTTTAAAATATTATGCACAATAATTATAGACAGATAAAACTGCTTTTATAAAAGTGACTGATGGCTCATTGGTTATGACATCCGCTTGAAAAGCGACTGACGCGAGTTCAAACCCCGACTGGGTTAGAATTTCTTCAAACTAATTTGACTATTTCATTCAGTAGAATTTGACTAAATATTAGTGACTGCTTTTTCGCTATGACAATTAGTCAAATATGACTTATAATTAGTTATTTTTAAATAATTTATTTTAAGAGATTAAGTATATTATGCAACTCGTTTTATAAACTTCCCTAGTCACTCGTTTTATTAACTACTCGCTCGCAAGCTTCGCTTGTGTCTGATAAAACTATTAACTAGAATGGCGTTTATAAAACTTGAGACATAATATACTATTTTGATAAAAAAGTAAACAATTTTTTTTTTAATTTTATACCTTAGACAGTTTTGAAAATGTGTGTATTAATTCTTTTGCTTTAGTGCGAAGAGGATAATTTTTCAAATCTTTATATGTTGTGTTTTAGAAACATTTCGATGACCTTGAAGAGACTTCGTGACGTCACTGTGTTATAACAGATGTGTCAAGAATTACGAATGAATCCAACATCTCTCTCTATTCTTTAAATTGTTTAAATCCTTTGTTAAATTTGTTTGTGTATAAAATTTTTATTTTACATATACTTCATTCGTAAATCTTGATACGCCTGTTATACCAATATACCTTGTAACTAACGAAATTGACAGTAAAAAATAGGTTTTCTTAATAGTATGATTGTTTTTAGTGACAAGTCTAAAGATTTCTCACTGATTTACATAAATGTCAGAGTTGGTCCCTGAAACTTGTCGCCCAGTTTATCCGTTTTGAAAACGCCTACGGAAATCTCCCGACAGGCAATTGTCGTGCCGCAAAAAGCACGCAGAAAAACCGGTAGAATAAAAACAAAAAGGCAGCGGCTTTATCTGGTACACACAACACAATATTGGAAACTGGTATCGGATAACATAAATTTTTCTAAGGCCATTTAGATCTAGCAACACCAAAGCCATATAACCAGGTTGCAAATAGAAAACTTTACAGTGTCGGTCGAGACCTTTTGCAGTGCGCATCATGAGGTTGTTTGTTCCTTTTGTTTTTGTGATCGTCCTTTGTTTCGCTCGGGCGGAGGACGAAGACCAAGTCTACGAGGATTCGGTCTACTCTGACGCCATTAACTTCGTCAACGAGTGCGGTGACAAGGAATTATCTCTATGTTTTAAGGTAAGTCAAAAATAAATCCTTAAACACTTTGTTTATTATAGTTTCCATTTGGGTTCTTTAATACGGTATATTTAATAGTTACAGTATATCTTGCCCAGACCATATGTTCTTTGGTTAAACGATATTATAATTTTAAAAAAGTTTATAATTTGTAAGGATTCTTATCTTTCAGCTTTGCAATATGCTGATATTCCGTTATTTATCAAACTGTATTATAATTCGGATAAACGTTTCTCATCTGTTCATGTTCAATTTCCATCATATATATTTTTTATTTAGGAAAGAGCACTTAAGTACCTCGAATCCCTTCCAAACAACGTAGACCTAGGTTCAGGGATCAAAATCAAGGAAAATTTTGAAGGCGCCAACCGTGCGTCTAGACAGTACCAACCTGCAGATCTACCGGAAGAACCAAGAGCTAGAGAAAATGAACTCGACAACATCATCATTGAAAAACTCGCTGATTACTTCACTTCGCACACTTTCGAATTCAAAATGCCCACCGACACCGCCAAGGATCTCAAAAGATCAATGGAAGAAGGTAAGTCTGAAGTCTCCATGTGGAAGAGACATATCTAAAAATATATTCTTAGGTCGTAAGAAGAAAAATAACAACAACAAAGGCGGAGGAATGATGAACATGATGATGCTCATCCAACTCAAGGCTGCCATCCTGGGTGCAATCTTCTTGAAGGTAGTCGCCCTGGTGGCCTTCAAGGCTCTTCTTGTAGCAAAGGTGGCGCTGACCATTGCTAGCGTGATTGCTTTGAAGAAGATTGTTGAGCAGAAACACCACTCGGCTACGTACGAGGTGGTGTCACATCCTCACGCCTATGAAGATCATGGTCACTACGATAGATCCTTCAGTCAGGATTTAGCCTATAATGCTCATAAAGGAGCTAGACATAACTGATCCTCCTAAGTTTAGTTGAGTTGAGCTGGTCATTATTTATGTTTATTTATTTTCTATGGTACAATTTTATTTATTTAATTGTATATAATGTTATGTTATATTTATGTTTTAGGATGTTGGTGGTAAATAAATGTTTGATTGTTGTTTAAATTATTTGTGTTATTTGCGATTAAATTAAGGCTTTTTTGTACAGGGTGTCCCAATGAGAGCGCAGTACTTTTGCTTTAACAGACTAGAGACCCTTTAACAAACAGATACCGTTGAAGGTATTTATAACAGACGAGTCACAAAGTGCTACACTAATTTTACAAAATCTTGCTTTTAACTTTAACCAAAATAGTTATTATTTGTAAATCTACTTCCTAAAAATTACATTACAGTGGATAATTATTTTTTTGCGAAGATTTTATTGGTCGATGTTTAAATTACAGATTTCTATTTTTCTATTTCAAAATGACGGACAGCAACTAGTGGCGTCATCTGTTGGCAAAAAACGCAAGTAGTGACCTAGAACCGGTGTAGAATATCTCGCGTATTAAAATTATTTTTTTCTAAATTGAAACATGTGAAGCTGAAGTTAATTTTATTAAATGTATCTTGCAGAAACGAGAAACTATAGGATACCAACATATTTGATATTATAAATTATTTAAATATATAGGGTGTTGGCTATAATCTTCACTAATTGTATAAGAAGAAAAGAAATCTGGAGGCAATGGAGTAATGTTATGTTTAAGATGCCATAACTATCATCATATATTGGGGTCGTTTTAAAAAACACCCGCCTTCCGCTGTCCGTAAGTTTGAATTCCAATAACTTTGTTAAAAATTATCGGATCTTATTGATTTAACAACCATGTCAAAGCCTAACAAGCCCTTAGTAAACTCTTTCAGAAAATGTTTGTTTAGTTATTTCAGAATATTTTTTTTTAATTTTGAAACTTGTGAAACACAAATTTTCGCATGTCCCATTAGCGTTTTATAAAACTTACATACATGATTTGTTTTAAATATTGAATAACCAGAACTTTGAGTTGCTTTATAGCAATCCATAACATCCTTAGTTAATACAGTAAACAATTTATATATAAAATAATTAATTTTAATCTATTTTTTTTAAATTTGACTCATGTCCCAGACATTTTTTCCGTTGCGTTACGTCCGTCGCGTTACCGATAGAATATTAAAAAAAACATATATATGGCAACTTTTTTGGCACTCACGTGATCAACAAATGATGTTCGGACGTACACATTACCCAGCTGAATTTATTTATTCACTCAGGAAGAAGATATCGGTTGAAACAGGTGCGGGTAACGCGAATGTAATAATAGTTTGTCCGCTAAGTTACTCAAAAAAATAATAAAAATAAGGTAAGAAAAAATATTATTTTTTAAGTTTGTGTTTATTTTAGGGCACTAAAGCTCATTAAGAGTAATTAATGACTGTAATGTCTTATTATTATTTTTTAAATATGGTTTCACACAACTTTTTCCACTGCGTTACCTAGTCCATTATGTTACCTTATGGTAACGCAATTTAATTTAGAGTAACGCAATAGAATTTTTCAGCAACAAAGTGGATATTTACCGTCGCTTTTATTAAAAGTAGTTTATGATAAACCAATTTAAAATTATTTGTGATTACAACTCATGATATACAAGGGAAAATTCCACGCAATATACAAGTACTAAAAGGGACCTTCACCAGCTTATAGTCAAAGAAAAAGGGGGTACAATTTAGAAATCTAAGTTGTTGTTCTGCAAGTAAGCACCACTATAAGGGATTTTGTTTATGCATTACTCTAAAATCGTACCATCCTTTATAGTTTCTTTTTTACGTTATCTGATTAAGTCCTTTGTGTACCCCAGTCCGTTGTGATACCAATGTCTATTTCGTTACTTTTTTTGTAAAAAAAAATACTTAAAATGATTTTTATACACTATCACTTGGTAATATGTGTTTATAAATTAGAGTTTAACTCACTAATACGGTGATTAAAAGAAAATATTAATGGTATTGTTTTTTTAACAAAGAATCGGAATGGTTTCTTTTAAAAAGTAACTTAACGAACATACATATTTAAAAAAGCATACAATTTTTAATAAAAAATAAAATAAAAAATTGGAGTCAAAAGTTTGTGAACTAAGTACATTTTATTTCAAATTATTTTTATAACAACTTTTTTTATTGAATTAAATTTTGGATTTCAAATTGGTAACACAGTGGATTTTTCTGAAAAAAACGTAAAAAAAATTAAAAAGTGCACTGCCTGTCTTAAATGTAAGTAAACAAAACTCTAAACATTTATAAAAATCCAACCAAAAGTCAATTTAACAAATTTTGATCTTCATTTTCCTGAAAGCGGGTGTTTCTTGAAAATGACCCATATATTGACAAATATCTTTATAAAGGACTTTTTTACCTAATACTTTCTTGTTTCCTGAAGCAAAACCGCGTTATAATTAAACAATGTCTTCGCAATCCGCAAAATCGCATGTGAATTTTGTCTACTCAGACAATAAAAAACCCGTAATTATCCCGTGGAAAAGACTATGGCACTTTCACTGACAGTTCAGAATTCACTGTACTATAACAATCTGATGTTATAAAACGTATTGTCTTCTTTTCGCGAATTTTATTTTAGCAAAAATGTCCATCCCGACAAGTTTGTGCGTTTGTTTGTTCCTGCTGGTTTCAGTGCAGTGCTCCCTAAGTCCTGCTGATTCGGCAGGATTAGGCGGGACTTTTCGGGATTGTTTAGTAAGTCAACCGCAGTCTCTTGGTCAGTGCATGGCCGTTGGAGCAATTAGCAGGTTGCAGGATTTGGATGCCAATCCTGAGTTCGATCTGGTCGATGGGGTAACCTTGGTTAAGGATAACACCCAGGAGTACAGAGAGGATTATAATTTTGCGGGTACAGATACCTCAAGTTTCAGGTAATTATATATTAAAGATTTATTTAATCTATTACTTAATTTATATCAATTTTATTTAAAAAATCTATTTATACATAATAAAAACAATTTGCAAATAAACAATTTTCACTCTTTTCGATATATGTATTTTCTTTTTTCAGACATACCATAAATAGTATAACAAGTACGAAATGTGTTCAGAAAACATCGGGAATTTTCGTTTTTTGAAATATTTATTTATTCGTCTACATTAATGTTGTCGCTTTCAAAATAGTCCCCATTGGATATTATGCACATGTGCCAGCTCTTCTTCCAATACTCGAAACACTTCTAAAACTCGATCTTTGGGATAGCCTTTAGTTCTTTCAGCGATGCGCTTTTAATGTCATCTATGCTTGCAAAACGACGGCCCTTTAAGGTTCTCTTTATTTTTGGGAATAGGAAAAAGTCAGACAGAGGCATGTCTGGCGAATATGGAGGCTGGAGCATCAATGTTGTTCAAAATTTAACAATTTTAGAACAAATTTTGCTGCCACGGGTTTCATACCCAAAACATTCGAAAAAAATTCATGGGATGAGCCAATCGATATACCAACATCATCAGCGACTTCTCTGATGGTTTATAACCATTAATTAATTAAATTTCTTCCACTTTTTCCATGTTTTTATCGGTTGTTAATGTGCTTGTACGTTTGGGGCGTTCGTCATCTTCAACGTCTTCACGGCCATCTAGGAAACTCTTATACCACTTGTAAACTCTTGGTTTACTTATAGCAGACTCACTATGGGCCTTTGTTAACATTTCACAGAATTTATTTAATTTTTTAAGCAAAATTGGATAAAAATACTTTGATCCATTTCTTTTAAGGAACAAAAAATCGCTGAGCTCATAAAACACGTCTAACCTTAGCGGCTGCCACAGACAAAGTAAACAATGAAAACAGCTAAAGTTTTTATCTTACTTCGGGGGCATGTATACCAACATAATAAAAAAAAAATTATGACAACTGAACACACCTCGTATATTAAAATTTTGATTAAATCCAAATATAAACCTATTTTCGTCTTAATTACCGAATTGGTGTAAACTTTGTTAGTTAAACTTTATGTAATTAAGCAAACTTTAAGCATAATTGGTTGTAATTTTAGAACACACATTATTTGAGTTCATGATTAACTATTGAAGTGATTCTATATCGATTTGATCGCATAACTACACTAATAAAGGTATAATACATAAACTTCAAACGGATTAGCTATTGTTGAAGTTTTGGTAATATTATTTAACCTGTTAGTGAATAGACTTTACTAATCTATATAAAACTTCACCATGTAATAAAAGTCCAAAAAAAGTAGCCCGTTATTTTAAAACTTAATTTATTAAAAACCCTTACCCTCGAGTAAAACATATTTATTGTACAATGATATTGATTGGGACAAATCAGCTACAAAGTAAGACAGTTCAAACAATAAGCGACGTTACCGTTAAAAGTATTGAAAAAAATTTCAATAACGAGTGCATTTGAAAATCGTATGCAGCAAAAGTCTAAAGAGAAGAGCAGAAAACAAAGAGGAGAAAAATTATCCAATTATCAAAAAAAATAACTTATAATAAATAAAATTTTTATTTTAAAAACGAAATTATGTTAGGTAATTAGAATAATAATAGATTAATAAGATATGCATTAAATAATATTTATAATATTAATATATATTTTTTTACTCCCACCTTTAAACCGCCCATTATCGTAAATGTTTATCTTTATGTCCTTTAGTCACGGGCTGAAGTTAGCAACAGGGTTTTAGTCACGCGCTGAAGTTAGTTTTAAGTTAGTTGACAGATGTTAAATGTCATAAATTCGTTAAAATAAAGTGACCTTCTTGTAAAATAATACTAAATGTAAGTTGTTTTATAGATGGCGCTCTATACTTTTTTAGACACTTATTTAATTAAACACTCGCGCGCAAGCTTGCTCGTGGCAATTTTAAATTTGTGACCAAAATGGCGTTTATAAAACTTGATACATAATATACTATTAATAATTCATAGGATATTTATTATAAAATCACATTTTTGGCGAAATACAACTAAAATATTCGTTTCATTCTTCTATGGTATGTTAACTCAATCATGATTGCTACGATCACAATTATTGTAATAATTATTATATTTATTTATTGAAAGAGGAATCTTATAATTTAAAAACTCTTACCTTTAATATTATTAAATCAATTTGAGATTTACTTCGAAAATTCACTTTTATGGTGTTTCATTTCAGAACTGTATAATTACTATAATTGGACCACAACTTGTATAATTGATTTAATAAATAATAAAATAAAAATATATATTTTTCTATTTCTATACCATAACAGTAATACTATTATATTATTTTTCCACTGACTTTTCCAGTGACTTTATGGCGTTTTACTCACTGGCTGAAGTTAGCTTTAAGTTGATTGTCAGTTGTCAAATGTCATACAATCGTTAAAATAAAGTGACCTTGTAAAATAATACTAAATGTAAGTATGTTACTGTATTGTTTTATAGATGTCGCTGTACACAAATATTTAATTTAAATCATATTTAGATAATAATAAGTATTTGTCGTAGAAAAAGTATGGAACTCGTTTATAAACTTCTCTAGACAAAATGGCGTTTATCAAACTTGATAAATAATATATTTCGAACCCTAACAACTAGTTTACAAATAAAACGCTAGTTTACTGAATCAATTTGATTTTAATGTTTTTAAATTGCATAATTGGAATTACATTTTAGATGTCATTTTATAACCGTTGTAGAATAAAATTCTCATTATTTTATTATTGAAATTTATTTAAGTGTTTCTTGTTTATTAAATGCACAGATTTCAGGTGTAAAATTATACCAAATTTCTTGTAGTATGTAATTGTGGTATGATTCGTTGTGGATTATTTTTCAGATGTTTCTTTATCTGAAAACCTTAATATTATTTTCACCAAACCATTTTTTTGTAGATTTTGCAGTATGGCATGAGGCACTGTCTTGCTGAAATAAAAAATCCCCATTGGGATATAAGTTTGCAGCTCTTGGTAAAAACGAGCTGGTTAGAAGGTCCTAATATTTAGCTGCCTTTACAGTCCCTTCAATAAAATGTAATGTGCCCAATCCTTTTGCCGACATCCCCACACCATAATTCCTTGTGGACTAGGGTGATTCATTTCCGGAAAGTTTTTGTTTTTTTTCGGTGCTCAAGCAAAATATTAATCTGCATATAGAAAAAAACATTCTCACCAAGTTTGAGCTCTTAATATTAATTTTAAGTACTTACTATTTAAATTTAAAGTTTTACCGTTTAAAATGCATGTAAAAAATATATATATTTTTTTCAAATTTCTAATGCTTACCCACCTTTGACAATATTGCAAATCGGTTTAATACACCTTATGGGGAATTTCACGCTCTTTAAAATTGCTTTTGAGTTTTTTTTGTAACTCGCATTGGTTCACCAGTAGGAGTTGTCAAAGGACAGTTTTTGAAAAAAAATCGTTTTTTTTTTTTTATTTTTTCGAGCAAATCGCCAAAAGTAGTGAGATAAAAGGGCTGATTCATAAAAAAAAAGTTATCCAACCAATATTTAATGAATTTACTGCCATTTTTATAACTGAAAACGTAAGAAATTGATAAATACCAACCCATAATGTTATTTAGATTGATTTTTTCTATTTATTATCATTATATTTCCCTACACTAAGAACTTTTTTAAAATTATTGATTTCTCACTTATAATGAATATGGAAACAACAGATAAATTCATAAAAAAACAATAAGAAAATTGTAACGTAGATTTTGCAATTTTTCAACATTTCTGTCATATAGCAAAAAAATATAAATGAAGATTATTTAATTTTTTGAAGCGAAATTTGAAATATGTTACATATCCTTCTGTATATTCCGATTAAAGTTTTGTTGTTTTTTTATGAATTTATGTGTTGTTTTCATATTCATTATGAGTGAGAAATCAATAATTTTAAAAAAGTTCTTAGTGTAGGGAAATATAATGATAATAAATAGAAAAAATCAATCTAAATAACATTATGGGTTGGTATTTATCAATTTCTTACGTTTTCAGTTATAAAAATGGCAGTAAACTCATTAAATATTGGTTGGATAACTTTTTTTTTGATTCAGCCCTTTTTTCTCCCTACTTTTTGCGGTTTGTTAGAAAAAATTTAAAAAAAAACGATATTTTTCAAAAACTGTACTTTGACGACTCCTACGGATGAACCAATGCAAGTTACACAAAAAAACTTCAAAGCAATTTTGAAGAGCGTGAAATTTCCCACAAGGTCCATCAAACCGATTTGTAAAATTGTAAAGGGTGGGTAAGCATTAGAAATTTGAAAAAAAAAATATTTTTTACATGCATTTTAAACGGTAAAACTTTAAAATTAAATAGTAAGTAGCTCAAACTTGGTAAGAATTTTTTTTTCTATATGCAGATTAATATTTTGCTTGAGCACCGAAAAAAACAAAAACTTTGCGGAAATGAATCACCCTATTGTGGACACTTGTTCTTTCTGTCTTATCTCGAATGATGCGTTTTTGGTAGTCTGACACACAAACATCAAATTTTCTTTCGTCACTGTAAATGACTTTACTCCAGTCATTTTTAGACCACGACAGCTTAGATTTAGCCCAATTGTAACGATTTTTTTAACATCTGTTAATAATGGTTTTTCTTTAGTCTGTCAATTTAAATGTATAAAATTTGCAAGAAAAATAAATATAAACTATTCTTTATAAAAACTGAGAGCACCTTGGTGGATATATTTACGGCAGCATTCTCGGGAAACGTTCCACCTTGCAGTCACTTTCCGCAGCGTGTTTCTTGGGACCACCTGAACTTTTACCACGAATATTAAAATTCCCGGTTTCACAATATTTTTAATGATATTAAACACAGTAGTCGTTGCTATCGCAAATTCAGTAGAAACTTCACGAATTGTTTTGCCTTTATGGTACTGATTGGTAATAATTTCGCATACTTTTCGATCGGTAGGCTTCCCGCTATGTAATTGAGCAAAAATTGTAATTGACAGTATTTAAATTGTTGAATTGATAAAAGCTTTGTTGCCATAGCAACCATATCTTGTTTCAAATCCCTTGAGATAAAAGTGAAGAAACTAGAAAAACGATAATATGCTCTCTTAAAATGAATTAGTTAAAAATGACCAATTTAATAGTTATTAGTGGCTGCTTTTTCACTTGTACCATGTTTAACCATGGGATACCATGGTCTCCCAAAAATTATGAAAGTGGAGCAGTTTTTGAGATATAGTCCATTCCATATTAAATGGAAAATTGACTATATCTCAAAAACTGTTCTACCTTTTTAACTTTCGAAATTTTCCGATTCAGGGGACAATTTTACATAAGAATTGGCCGTTAAATTTTGGGATACCTTGGTATTCCATGGTTAACCATGGCACAAGTGAAAAAGCAACCACTTATATTTATTAAATTAGTCATTTTTGACTAATTCATTTTTAGAGAGTGTGTTCCAACAATTTGTTGCCAGCGTTTTTAAACATGAAAGAGTTAAATAAATTCTAATAAAAGAATATTAAGAATTTTACCGTACAAATGTTATAAAATGTTCACAATGCTAATTTTTCATTAATCAAAATTAAAATAAAATTGATTCATTAAACTAGCATTTTTTTCAAAATAAATACTTGTTCCAATATATAGTTAACCCGAACAATTGTTAGGGCTTGTATAATGCTTATCTTGTGACATGACTTTTTTTCTCGAATACACTTACACGTATAGAATTGGCATATAAATTTTTGTAAACATTTACAACACAGTTTAGTAATAATAAACGATAACATTCCTTATAATAATAATAATAATAATAATAATAATATTAATAATAATAATATTATTAATAATAATAATAATAATAATAATAATAATAATAATAATACTAATATGTTTATTGCTAATAACATCATACATGATATAAGCAACGTCAAAATACGAGAGAAAAAAACAGGGTGAAACATTTAGTCATAAAACATACGAGGTGTGTTCAGAAAATATCGGGAATTTTCGTTTTTTGAAACAAATATTTATTTATTCGTCTACATTAATGTTGTCGCCTTCAAAATAGTCCCCATTGGATATTATGCACATGTGCCAGATCTTCTTCCAATACTCGAAACACTTCTAAAACTCCATCTTTGGGATAGCCTTTAGTTCTTTCAGCGATGCCCTTTAAGGTTCTCTTTATTTTTAAGAATAGAAAAAAGTCAGACAGAGGCATGTCTGGCAAATATGGAGGCTGGGGCTTCATTACAGTATTATTTTTGGCCAAAAATTTGGTTCAAAATTTAACAATTTTGGAACAAATTTTGCTGCAACGCGTTTCATACCCAAAACATTTGAAAAAATTTCATGGGATGAGCCAATCGATATACCAACATCATCAGCGACTTCTCTGATGGTTTATAACCATTTCTTCCACTTTTTCCATGTTTTTATCGGTTCTTAATGTGCTTGTGCGTTCGGGGCGTTCGTCATCTTCAACGTCTTCACGGCCATCTTGGAAACTCTTATACCACTTGTAAACTCTTGTTTTACTTATAGCAGACTCACTATAGGCCTTTGTTAACATTTCACAGAATTTATTTCATTTTTTAAGCAAAATTGTATACAAATTCTCTTTGATCCATTTCTTTTAACGAACGAAAATCGCCGAGCTCATAAATCACGTCTAACCTTAGCGGCTGCCACAGACAAAGTAAACAATGATAGCCAAGTAAACAATGATTGATAAATAAATAAACATTTGGTAAACATTTAAATGGGTAAAAAAAATCGTTAAGATTATAATTATTAGTTAGTCGGTAAAATTTAAGAATTCATTAAAGTAGTAAACAAAGTTGTTTACAAGGTTTTTTATGGCATTTTTAATGATAGGCAACTTCAATAATTTTTTATTTGGAAAAAAGACCGACAATCTTTCTAAAACGTTATAAATTTATTTTAAATAGACTCAACTACAATTTTTTTCAATATTTCTCATACCGACTAATTTTGTGCCCGAATGTCCTTTTCTTGACTTAATTAAAATACATCAATCCCCTTTATTTTTCTACTTGGTTTCATAAATCTTTCAGGAGCATAATGGACACATTCAACCACGTCTTCTCGAACCGCAACACGCAGTTCAGCATGGACTTTTTGTATCCCGGGCTGGGTATGCAGCTGGCGCCATCTAGCACTCCGGGCGGCGTACTGGAATTCGTGCTCGATCCGCAACGCGAAGCGGCCAACGCTTACTCGCTGAAAGAAGCAGGAACCGGTAAGATTTGCAGGAAGAGAAACCTTGAACTTACGCGCAAGTTCAATGGCATTCAAAATGCTAAAGAACTCTTTAGATTGTTAGTTCGCGGAATGCCCGCGTTTAGCAGAAATTCATTTTACATTTTGTAGTAAAGTATTTTTGCAGGAATTTAAAAAAAAATTATAAGAAATTTCATAAAAAATTTCTTCTTTATGATCGTTATGTTTATGTTGAAATTGGTATGTAACAGGTTCTTTGCCAATGTGTGCTTACGTATAAGTGAAGGTTGTTGCAGTTTCCTGCTTATAGTAAAGTTAGCCTTGAGCTTGACACTTTGGAATGCAGAGTGCACTTGATATTTAAACATACATTTTTTATCTTTAAGCAGTCTATAAATTTAACTTTATCATTGTCAAAACTTCCATAGATTTTATTAGGCACCGTTATATTTCAAAGAATTTTTTTTTACAGTTTTTCCACTGAAATCGATGAGACCCCTATTTTTTCTTTTTGCTTAAATTTGTTTTTTTCACCAGTAGGAAATATTTGAAAAATGATTTTTCTCTTTTTACGAGTAAAATTTTTTCTTAAATTGCCTACTATAAAAAAAATATAAAAAATTAAATTTTATCTAGGGTCATAAAACTAACATATTTTTGTCATTTTTATTCACCGGAAATGCTCTGAAGTAAATAAATTAAATTATTAAAGATTTTAAAGTAAAATTTAAATTCTTAATATTTTTGCATGTGTTACTGTTAAAAGATGTAAAAAGTATATGAAAGTTAATTTTGGTTAAAATAATAAAAAGTAAGTATTACACAAACAATTCCGAACTTTTTTTTCGGTTAACAGATATGAGTGAGGCAGTCTATCCTCTTTTTAACTGAGGCTCTATCAGGAAGGGAAATAACAGATTAATTATGTTTAGAAATAACAAAATTTTATTTGATTTCATATTTCGTTTTTTTATTTATTGGCAGAGATTCCCTACAATGGCCATACTATGGGGCAGTTAGATATAACTTTTTATAATCGTTTCAAAATATTTGAATGATTTTATTTGGTAGTTTTAAAACCAAAAAATGTTTTGCAATTACTCACACAACTTTGATTCTAGCCAGCTCAATTAATATTTTTTTCTTACTACCTCGACTCAAAATACGTTGTTCGTCCCCGATTCCACGGCAGAAAGTTTACGTTTTATGCATTGGTCAAGCTATACGCGCACACTCTAATAGTGGGAGTAAAAATTTTTTAGTCGTGTGCTTAACATTCAAATTTCGTACTGCCAACATGAGAAACACAAAAATATGACAGTTTTAAACCATAATTTTGCAATTATAACAACAAATAAACAATTTATGTTTTTACTTTTTATGTTGTTTTAAGTGTTTAATGGTACTTTTTTTGTTTTAAAGTAGTAATTTGTTAATTAAAATACACGTTTTATTTTTACTGTATTGGCACCGCTGAATTCACGGCCTACTGTTATTTATTTATCAAGCTTTTCAAATGGAGATAGGTACATAAATACACATTTAATTTTTTCCCGTATTTTCGGCCGGGTTGTATTTTCGGCCGAGGTAGTAAGAAAAATAGTATACACTACACGGGCAGAAAGTGTGAGAGCCCTGAACTGCGCGCCATCATGGCGCGCAGTGCAGGAATCTCACACTTTCTGCCTTTGTAGTGTAATATACTATATTTTATTTTATACAAAGTTTTGGCGTATGTTTTCGTAGAAAAATAAAATATTAATATTCACTTACCACCAAAACAAACTAACGAACTGTCTAATCTAATACTTCTTTTAAACACAACAAACACATTTTCTATTTAATATGGAATTGACTATATCTCAAAAATTTTATAATTTTTGCCGGTATTTTCAGATTCAGGGGATAATTGTACATAAGAATTGGCTGTTAAATTTTGGGATACCATGGTATTCCATGGTTAACCATGGTACAAGTGAAAAAGCAGCCACTAATAACTATTAAATTAGTCATTTTTGACTAATTCATTTTTAGAGAGTAAGGACCATGTACAGTTTAACGAATAAAATTGGCTTTAAATTTAAAAAAAATTTGAGGATAAAATATTGTAGGCCATTTGGCTTTTTTGTGCTTTGGTTTAAAGAAAATCATTCAAATTGTTATTACATTAGGATTTAGGGAATATTATTGTTGGAAGAAGAAAACTGCAATTTTAGGATAACGGTAAACTCTTAACTCTTTAAGAACCAATATATATATACCGTAGAAAAGAAACCGCTTTGCAGATTTCTTTATTAAGCAAGTCAGTATAGTTGTTATTCACCTTGAACTTGAGTTCTTATACTGTAGATAGCACTTGCTATTTATGAATTAATTCGAGCTAGTAAACTTAAAAATATTTATATATATTTTTAAGTGTTTTAAAATATCGGTTTTTAAGAAAAACACAAATTTAAACTAATTATGTTACCATTATGTTATTTGCATTAAGTGGAAATTTAAATAAAATATATAATAAAATCTTTAGTAAGTGAAATTGCACATTTTTTGTTTGCAATACATTCATTGGACATGCTTTTTAATATTCTTAATTGTTGTTTGTCAACAATTAAGTAGTATTTTATATTTATTCAAAAAAGTATTGAATTTGTTCACTGTTTTTTTTTATTTTATTATCCAAATCTAACATTTTTAAATTAAAACTAATTTTGCGGTCAATGTATATTAAGATTACAAAATACAATAAGATAACATACTAGGTATAAAAAATTAATTAATGTTTATTTTGTATTACAATAATTACTGTTAAATCATAGACGCACTAAGAAAATTTATACATAACTGGATATGAACAAATTATAGAAATTAAAAAAGTTCGTTGATGCTATAATAGCAATTAAAATTGTACTGTTAATCTAATTAATAATCTTTGTTTTAAGGTTATTAGATTAAAAATGTTTTTCTCTTTAACAAAAAGTTATTAGGAAATTTAAAATTATAGGAAGGTTTGACTACCAAAAATTGACCTTAAATGGGCGATGACCCACTTTACACATTGGGCGGGCCCAAAAGAAGATGTAGGAAGTAAAAAATAACACATTTTTATGGACACCAAATTATGTCAAAGTGGTAATAAAGTGTTTAGATTATTTTATTTAATCGTACTAAAAAGATACAACGTGTACATAAAAAGAAAAAATTTCACCACAACGAATTGAATATTTGCAAAAATGTCTCATTTTATCCAAAAAAATATTTAATTTTTTTTTAAACCTAATTCGAATTATTAAAATACAATAACACAATATGGTTAAACAAATGTATTCTGCAAAATCAACATCACAATAAAATTGCACCTGTAAACCTTTAATCGAAATAAAATAAAAACATACAACAAAACTTCGTAAATCTTAAATATATGTCGCTACGTCATTGACCATTTAATTTGGATACAAATTGAATGAACCTGCTACAACACAAGGCAAACGTGGAGAAAATGAGCTGCGTTGCCTAATTTACTAACCACAAGTTTTTTAATGTTGATTTTAACTGATTTTAGTGAACCATGCCTCAAATATTTTTAATGATTACACTCTTTTACTTGGATAATTTTGCTTTAAAATAGTTTTATCCTTAAGCGTTCTAGATGTAATTTAAGTTTTATTATTGTCAACACTTACTACAAACTTTTAATAATTGTAATTTTTATCTTTTTGTGCATCAAACACAAAAATTACTTCTTCGCCTTATAAATAACTATTGGGTTCTTTTTAAAAATTTTAATTTAATTTATAAGATTTGAAACTGTAGAGGTGGCAACATGGCAATAAAACAAAATTTCCCTGCAAGAATGTACAGCATCTTCTCGTGTAAGTTCAAGGCTTCATCGCTAGAGCCGAGAGATGCGATGCTAGCTAGTTAGGTTGTTCATTTGTAAGTCAAGGTGAAAATTATTAAATGGGAAAAGTATGTTATATTGTACACATCGTACATTAATAGATATTTTATCGACGCTCAAAACAAGATTAGAAACTGACTACTAGGAGAAAATTTATTCGTAGCTTAAATGGTTTAGGAATATATTTATATGCCTAAGACTTTTACTTGAATTTGCCATTATTTATTTTTAGGTACCTTATTAGCTAGACAGTTCGTTCTGCCCTTTATCCTTGGTCTTAAGTTTAAAGTTGCCACAATTTTACCAATTCTATTTGGCATTTTGGCTTTACTGGCCAAAAAAGCTATTGTGATCAGTAAATTGGCTTTGGTGGTGAGTAGTGCGTTTGGACTTGGAACATTGTTGTTTGGTGGTGCTGGGGCTAGCGCTGCATCACATTCCGGATCAGGAGTTTCACTAGGATACCAAGGACAAAATCATCATCACAGTCAACATTTTAACCCTGGTTTTGGAGGGCATAAGTACACATCCACATTATAACTTTTTAATTTCAAAAAAATAAAATACATATTGAGTTTTAGGTACCATGATGAAGATATAAACATCCAAAACATCGCCTATAGAGGGGCTGTAAATACGAAAGACCAATTCAGGTATTCTGATGACGTATCGGAAAGGGAGGAAAAAAGTAAAGGAAGAAATTTCGCTTGGAGTGAAGACGACAAAGTTAAAAAAGTTACTGCTAATTAGTTCTATATTTGTTTTAAAATAAAAATTATTTGTTTTTATTTAATTTAATTTAATCCAAAAAGAAAATCTATGTCTATGCTATGGTATAGCATAGCATCGTCGTGGGTATTTGTTGTGGTGTGGTTTCTTGTCCTCGACCATGGAAAGTTAAACGAAACCGTGCTGAAGACAGCTTGGGGCCGAAGAATTTGGGTCGCATCTGTTCTTCATCTTGTACCGACTTCCGATACATACGTGATACATGCCACCTTATATACAAGGTGCACCAAGTATCCTTCTATTTATGGGTATCTTTTTTATTAAAAAAAAACTAGTTAAAAAATGGGAAACCAAATTAAGGACCCATACTCAAGCCTAGTTCTAACCAACGAATTAAAAAGAAAGATTAAGCATTTGTTATTCTTAAAGTCCCTACAATTTCTCAAAATAAAACCAAGTTTTAAAGGAACCGGAAACCACATTGTTAATATGGTTAGTAAATGAAAATTGTTTATCAAATAGTATACCAAGGTCTTTCTCACCCTCACTTCGCCTTAATTGATTATTAGCAATGCTGTAACCAAATTCCATGATTTTTCTTTTCCTGGTATATGAAACCACGACACATTTAGAAAAATTTAACATTAATTTTGATGATTTACACCATTCATTTACTTTGTTAATAGAATCTTGCAATATCACACAGTCATCATAGATATCAATCCTTTTAAAAAGCTTTAAGTCATCAGCAAATGCTAGCTTGTTGACGGTTATAAGATCGTTAATAAAAAGGACAAAAAGTAAGGGACCCAAGTTTAAACCTTGGGGAACCCCGGACGTTACAATGTAGCTACTTGATTGAAACCCGGCAACCTCAACATATTGGGATATATCACTAAGATATGATCTAACTAGGGCAAGCATGGAGTTAGAAAAGCCAAAAAATGTAAGTTTTTGTAAAAGAACAGGCTAAATTGACTGTACATGATTTATTTACCATAAATCCATACTGATCTTCACTAATTAGGCGCTTAAAATATAGTAGTGAAGAAATTAGAGAAAAAAGTAGATGTTTACATGTAAGATTCACTTTTTTTCAAAATTCCCGGAAATAACGAAGTTATAACGATTTTTGGTTTTTAGTTATTTTTTAAATATTTTGAGAACCGCTAGTACAAGTTTTATACAATTTTAGTTCGATTACTTTTATTTATTTCTGTGAAATTTTACAAAATTGTATACGATTTTATAAAATTGTATAAAATGAAAATTTTTCCTTCAGCTATGGCTAATGTCATAGAAATTATTTTAACAATAATTATTATTTTTACGAAAAAATAAAATTTGTAGTTACGCATGCGCACTAAAGCATGATTTAGTACTTCAGAGATTTCTAGTCGCAAAGTTGACATAGCGCAGCAGTGTCGCGCACGCAGTTTGAAGTATGTCTATCACCCATCGTCTGAGGCATCTTTTATATAATAGTAGTTACGAGTGTTTATTAAAAACGAGTGTTCAAATAATTTTATAAAACGAGTTGCATACTATACTTTATTTACGACGAACACAAAGAAGCAATTTCAGCCCGTTACTAAAATGCCATAAAGTCACAGCTCGTCAATGTAGAAGTAGATAATAGTATATTATGTATCAAGTTTGATGAACGTCATTTTATACACGAATTTTTTAATTAATGAGTGTATAAAAAGTTTATAAACGAGGTGCATACGATACTTTTTCTACGACAAATACTTATTATTATCTTAAAATGATTTAAATCAAAAATTTGTATAGATCGCCATCTATGAAACAATAGGGAAATCTGTGTGTCACATTTTTACATTTTATAAACACAAATTATAATGGTCATAAATCGAAATGTATTTCTTGAAAATTGACAGTTTTTCAAAGTAAAAGTAAAGAAAATGTTTTATGAGGACTTTACAGTGGAGTCCGTGCCCAAATTTAAGTTATAGTTTACTGCCGGCAAAAGATCAGTTCAATGTTCATATAAACTGTTCAAATATTGGCGTTGAGAAACTATTTAATACTTTTGTATTTTTGTATTGAGATAATAAAATAATTTTCACATTTAGTATTATTTTACAAGAAAGGCACATTATTTTAACGATTGTATGACATTTGACAACTGTCAACTAACTTAAAACTAACTTCAGCCCGTGACTAAAAACCTGTTGCTAACTTCAGCCCGTGACTAAAGCGCCATAAAGCCACAACTTGTCAATGTGTATTTAAAAGGCCACTTAGTGTCATGGAAACATGTAAAGGTGGAAGTAGAAAAATACATTTAACTTATTTAAAAAGAATAATTGGTGTAGCGAAAATGTCTGCATCTCATATTCAAGACGTCATTAGCTGTACTGAAGGAAAAATTTTTCATTGTATAATATTTTATAAAATCGTATAAAATTTTGTGTAATTTCACAGGAATAATAAAAAAATGTAAAAATAGTAATGGTAAAACTAGTACCAGATTCGTTTTTAAAATGTAATAAAAAAAATTTAATTTATCGGAATCTCTTGTTAATAATTTTCACTTACTTATCTGTTTTTAATAATTTTTACTTTTTTGATAATTCATTAAATAAAATCACATATTTTTAAAAATACACAATTTATAATAATAATAATGCTTTATTGAACCAAGTTCAAAGGCTATTGACCGTAGTCCTTCAGCCGAAAACATTATTATTTTAATAAAAATGCAGTAAAAGTAAAAAAATCGTTTAACTTTAACCTTAAATAACTTTTAACCCAGTAAATTTATCAAAAAATCATTGAAAAGCTTTTTTGTACAGCCTTCAATTTTCTATCAAAATATGTATCTTTTATTGCTGTATGTTAACTTGCTCCTGAGAAGAAAAAATTAAATGTAAAACGTGCCGAAACGTGTTATTTAAATGGGAAATGGATCGTCTTTGTGGCAAGGTTTAATATGAATATTAAGGGCTTATATGAGTCTGATAATTTATTTTAGGTCATAAACTAAAAATGTGGCAAGGTTTAATATGAATATTAAGGGCTTATATGAGTCTGATAATTTATTTTAGGTCATAAACTAAAAATTTAGGGGGCGCTGCGAAAAAAAAAACTGTTTTACTCCCTCCATCCTTCTACTTCTATCAGGATGAAGCTGGTCCCATATTAGTCCAGCGAAAAAACTTCATCTTAGAAATTAAGGGCTTTGTGAGAAGCTTGAAAGAGCAGCTGATGTTGAACTTTGCCCTTTATTCATTGATTCATAAAGGCAATAAAACAATAATAAAAACGTTATGGAATACAAAAATGCAAAAAATATATTAGTATCTTCCCAGGAAAACATCCTCTATAAATGAAAATTCTTTTAGGTCATGTTGTTAACTATCTTTTAATTGTATTTTGTTTTGTTTTTTTGTTAGATATTGTTGTTGTCAACACCCTCCTAAAAATTAAATTAAGTATCTTAAATTAATTAAATATCTTAAAACTATTTCAAATGCACTCGAAATGTCAAACAGGCTAAAATTTGAATATATTAAAGCAAAAACAATAATTACCGAAATTCTTTACCCACGACCTGGCCACCTGCTCACGTGAAAATGTATGATTACCGTCATAAAAATTCCGGTTGTCTGCAAACTGGGATTGCCCTAAAGGAATTCGGGCAACCTTTTGCATAATTATCGCATCTGGAATGCAAATTAAATTAAAGTCAACGTGTAACTCAAAACTGTTTAATCGAACTAATTGGGAGGCGAAACTTTATCAAAATGTTTAAAGCCGATTGAAAAATTTTAATTAACATTTTATGTTATAGTTTATTTATTAATTATAATAATAATAATAATAATAATATTAGAGATTCTCAAATAAATTTAAATGATTTGTGCAAAACAAGTTAAAATAAAAAAAAATTGTTTTTTAATTGAGTTTTTCCTTAGTATAAATTGTAACCTACATCGTACTTTTTACTATACTAATGCAAGTAAAATTATTTATCATTTACCCTGAAAAGAACAATTAAGTGCTTTTTATCACATTCACATAAATCAGGATCTTAGACAATTATACTACAACTTACATGATAACGTGTAGTTTCACAGGTTTTTTGCTAAGCCTTTGTGTTAAGGTTGTTTTACATGATTATGAGAAATATTATTTTTCAAAATGATTTTTTTACTACCAAATACTAAAACTACATACAATCGTTTAAAACATACAAAAAATGTCTATTTAACATTAAATAAAGTTTAATACACTCGCAGGCAAAATAATCGATCCACACAAATTTTCGATGAATTTCAATCGCAAATATCTTTTTTTTTTGTTTTGTCGGATTTAAACGAATATTAAAGAATATTGTAGACAAATTAATGGACAATCACTCACATTTTAAAAAATTACTAAAAAATACGTACGTTTATAATAGGTTTAAAGAAAAAGATGTTTTTACCATAAGTTTAAGACACTCTGTAGAGTGGCAAAACCGTATATTGTTCTAAATTAAGTTTTATTTATTAAGTCACATCTATTCGTAACAATTTTGTTTTTGGTTCACCTCGATATATTTATTTTTGTGGAAAATATGGATTTTTAAAAAAAACATTGCAATTTCCAATATTTTTCTGTATGAAGAACTAAGGTTGCTATGGTCCATCCATATGCTATGGTATGACAGTGACAGTTTTGTTGAATCATCCCATACTTGGACATGTCATACACGGCTTTCAAAAGCTATCAAATTGTTTTTTGCAAATTAATGTTTAAATTCTTTCTTTAAAAAATGGATATGTCTCCGACTGATATTGCCAGAGCCATTAATTTAATCCAGGATGGACGGTCACAGTATTACGTGGCAAGTGTTTTAAACGTCACAAGAAGTAAAGTACAAAGGGCAACATCAGTCGGAGACATTTTTAAAAGTAAGAAGACACATCAAAATTAACACATTAATTTACAAAAAACAATTTTATAGTTTTTGAAAGCTGTATATGACATGTCCAAGTATGGGATGATTCAACAAAACTGTTACTGTCATCCTACATGGGCTATGGATGGACCATAGCAACCTTAGTTCTTCATACAGGAAAAATATTGGAAATTACAATGTTTTTTTTTAAATCCAAATTTTTCACAAAAATAAATATATCAAGGTAACCAAAAATAAAAATGTTATAAATAGATGTGACTTGATAAATAAAACTTAATTTAGAACAATATACGGTTTTGCCACTCTACAGAGTGTCTTAAACTTATGATATAAAACATATTTTTGTTTAAACCTGTATATTATAAACGTACGTGTATTTTTTAGTAATTTTTAAAATGTGAGCGATTCTCCATTAATGTATCTACAATATTCTTTATTATTTGTTTAAATCCGAAATCAAATAAAAAAGTTATTTGCGATTGAAATTCATCGAAAATTTGTGTGGATCGATTATTTTGCCTGTGAGTGTATTATGCAAAGAATATTGTTTTCTTCGTGCCTAGATAAAATCAATAAGTTTTACTTACCAAGGAAAGTTCAAACACGGATGCAATAGAAAAGTAGACTTTGTGAAATTATCCTACCTAAGTAACTGGCAATGTTACTATATAAACAAGTCTATTAAATATTTAAACTCCTTTGTATACAAATAGATAATAAATCCGGAATTGTTTAAATAATGTATTTTTGTACAAAAAAGATTAAAAGCAATGTTTTGTGTTTTTAATAAATAACCTTTTCAATACAACAAATTTAGTATATTAAATATTAAATATTAAATTTACAATTAAAATAAAATTAGGTTCGTCGTCTACTGCTTGTTGGGATCTCCATGTTTTGATTGGTTAAAACGTACACACATGACTGGAAACCTAAAAAAACAATCATTATAAAAATAAATGCCTATTACGGAACTTTTAATTTTACAAATTAAAAATGCTGAGATTGTTAGATATTGTAATCAGGCCAGATCTGATAAAATTTATTCGGCTTTTTTTATAGTTACGTACCTACTCATAGAGCAATTTATGTATGTTTTGGTAATTTAAAATTTAAAATGCTAATATTTATATTTATAAATTTTAATGAAGCCTTATCCAACAAATTAAAACATTTTTATGTTATATTTTATTTCACGGATAGAACTGATTTGGGAATGGTTACTAAAAATACAGTAAATTTGACAGTTATGATTCCCAAACTCATATATTAAGTATACGTATGCTATTTTTAATAGCTTAAATAATAGTATATTAAGGAACTAATGTCATAAGACGTCATTTTATCGCACGAGGACAATTGGACGGCTTTCTGCAGAATGGGACCAACCCACACCATGATGAAACTGAGAAAAAAGCTATCAAAGATTTTAATAATTTTAAAATTACCTGTTAATTTTATGCCGATTTTGGACTTACGGAGGTTTAAGGGATATAATTTAATAATTTCATCAGGTGGATTTTGTGATGTTATGTGTAAGGGTGACGAAAAAAATGAGCTTTTGTTGGTTGGTTCCTTTCTGCAATTTATGAAAACTACTATCTGATGTATGTATGTATTTAAAGAAAAGCGACAATTATTTATTTCCAAACAAAATACAACTGATATTACTATTATAATGGTAATATGAATTAATTTTGATTCTATTTGAAATTCGTCCAAATCATCTTCCAACCCCACCTCATCTTGTAAGCTACCAAAAAAATGCATCCAGACTTTATATTTTGCAGAAGCAGGAAATCTTTAAAGACTTTGGTAGTGGGTCAACCAGCCTGCTTTTTTACAAAAAAGATACAACCCACTTGCAGATATTATACAGATTCTAATTCTGGATTAGTAATCCACACTATTATTGAATGTTGGTTGGTTCAATGATTAATAGATTTCACTACACTTGCATTTTGGCTATGACCTATTTTGCAGATAAATTATACATACTTAATTAGTTCATAGGCTAAATATCTCGATTTTTTTGGTTTTGTGGGTTGGTTCCTTTCTGCAGAAAGGCGTCCAATTTATAAAATGAGCGACGAAGGAGCGAGTTTTGTAATGGACGAATGCGACAAAAGGTCTTATGACATGAGTTCTTTATGCTATTTTATCTATTTTGCAAAAATTCTATAAAAAAATTAATTTTATACCTTATATTTAATTTGGTCCAATTTTACTGTAGATAGTTGGTATCACAGTCATTGGTTTGACAATGAATGTCAAAATCGATTCGCCATGCCGTCCTTAATTTACTTATTTACATTAAGCGGCTGTTAATGTTAAAGAAGAGAAAAAGGTTTTTCTTTGGTGTTAAACAAAATTTATTGCCAGAAAAGTACTAGAAAAATCATAAAAATATTGTAACCAATATGAAAAATATTATGCTGTTTAAAGTATAGCCAACCTATAAAAAAATTAAATTATCTTATAATAATATATTATTACAGCACCGAAACCGGTGTTATAATGAAGTCATTATGAACGCAAAATAGATAAAATATCAACTCAATTTTGGATTTATTGCTTCAACAATCAATATCCAATGGAATATTAATAGTTGGTTAAATGTTAGTATTGTATGTATCTGCTTTATTTAAAATAAAAGTACATGAAGTAATGATATTACTTACACTGAATAAATTAAAATATATTACATTTTAACATCTGTTCTGATTGGAATATTAAGTCTAGTTACCTCAGACTTGTCAATCTATTTTATTTTTAAACTCTTCTTTCTACCGAAGTAAAAAATTAAGAAAATGAATTTATAACAATATTTAATACTTTGCAAAACTCTTTACCAAATAGTCATTTTTAAATATATATATTTATTTTATTATATGTAAATAAAAAATAATAAGGTTTATAGTTTTTTTGTTATAATTTTATCAAATCCACTCAACCCAATATACCTACGGCAGTAATGTCCATGGGCATATTACTTAAGTATTTTTAAAGTATTTTTTAATTGGACAATTTTGGTTAAACCAATCCAAGCAGATCTCTAAAAATGAAATAGTCAAAATTCTACTATTTGATTTAGTACCAGCATTTTTTACTAATAAAATAGTCGTTTTCACTTTTAAATAGTTATTTTTTACTACGAAAAAGTGTGACTAATTTAAGATTATTCACCACCTTTGACTATTTCTGAGAGTTTAAAGTAACTTATTTCTTTAATCGTTTGCGGCCAACAAGAAAGTATTATTTGAATTAAAATATTATGAACAATATTTATTGACAAATAAAATTGATTTTTATAAGAGCGGCTGATAGCCGAATGGGTTATGACAACAGCTTGACAAGCTTGACAAGTGACACACCTGAGTTCAATCCCCGGCTGGGTCAAAACTTTTTTTAAATTTAAATCTACTTAGTTGACTATTTCATTCAGTAAAATTTGACTAATTATTAGTGAATGCTTTTTCGCTATGACAATTATTTAAATATGACTTATAATTAGTTATTTTTGACTAAGGGCCGGTTTATCAATGTCCAGTTAAAGTTGCAGTTAGTTATCTGGTAGATAATTTCCATGGATACCATTGTTCTCACAACGATCGATATGAAATTTAACCGTCAGATAGACTAACTGGAACTTAAGTAGAGATTGATAAACCGGCCCTAATTCATTTTAAGAGAGGAGGTATAATAAAATATAGTTTATTGTGCGGCTAGTGAAAGAAAGAGGAGAAGTTAACATGCGAGTGAAATCTCCCCTTTTGACCAACAGTTGCACACAATATTTTATTCAACTACCGCAATAAACCTACATAATAGTGTAAAAACTAGTAATGAACAATTAAAGAATCGAAACAGTTATGATCCAAGAAATTCAATGGTAATTTTATTTGATATCCGACAACTGTAAAACATTTTTACCTCACTTTTTTCAATTTTAACTTAAAGTTAACTTTAGCCCGTGGGCGAAATACTATTTTGCCCTCTAGTGAGCGAAGTATCATTTCGACCACGGGTTCAAGTTAAGAAACTTACATTTATATTATCTATTATTTTACTTACCCTTAGTGGGGCTAGAAAGTTACACATTTCTTGCGGGTGTTGAATACAATAACATTCCAGTGGAATCTCCTCTTTTGACGCAAGAATTTATAGACTAATTATTTGATATTTTATCTGACAATTGTCAATTAGTTTTAAGCTCCCTTTTTTCGATTTTAAAGCCAAATTCAGCCCGTGGGCGAAACACTATTTTGCCCTCTATTGAAGATAAAATGAAGAAATAAACGTTTAAAAAAAATTATTATTTTGCCCACTCTCAGCATGGCCACAAAATTACATGTTTCTTGCCGGTGAAAATGTGTTAATCGAAATGTATCCCTTGAAAATGGACTAGCAACAGTTTTTCATAGTGAAAGTGAAAAAAATATTTTATGGGCTCTTCACGGCGGAGTGTCCACGCACCCGAAATTAAGTTAAATTTAGTTTACTTCCGGCAGTCAGTACAATGTTTATATAAATTTTTCAAAACTATTTAATACTCTTGTATTTTAGTATTGATATAATAAAATAATTCAACTAAAAACTTTAGCCCTTGACTAAAACTCTATAAAAGCACCTCGTCAATGTGTGTTTAAAAGGTCACTTAGAGTCATAATGGTCATTTTAAAGGTAGGAGTAAAAAGAAGTATTTAAATCTAAACAATTTAAGTAATTAAAGACACAAGCAAAAGTGTGACCATAGCCGAAATTGTAACTTGACACAGAAATAAACTTAATTATATCATGTTCCAATTCCTTAAACCACCCTAATGAATATTCAAGATAATGCGTTTTTGCTAAAGAGACCATAAAATTTCGCATTAGCCTTCAAACGTTACCCCCGCCACCTCTAAAGTCGAAAAAACACAAGGAAAATTCGTGTGTAAATTTCAACGGTATGTCACTCATTGGACACGCTCTACTGTCTTCTAGATGTATAAAGCAATTGCTGAGCGCAACAAAATTTAGTATAGTTGCTCTTATATCATCAAAAACATGCAATTAAGTAAACGTGCCTGTGTGAAATTATTGTTCACGCTACTGGTCATCATCATCGACACACATCATGCAGTTAGTGCCGATCAAAATTTTTCATTGTTATTGGAAAACGTAAACAACTTCAAGAAATGCCTAGGGGATAAATACCCCATTATGTGTTTTAAAGAGAGAGCCCTGGACGTTCTCAATGAGACCATCATGAGCGACGCACCCATAACTTTTATAGACGGATTAATTATCGAGAGGAACCCTGAATATATTCCTGATACGATCGAAGAGCAAAATCTGCCCTCGGAGGCCAGTGCTAGAAGTTCGAAACTGTCGAATATTCTGCATGAAATGATCGAGGATTTTTTTAAGTCCAGGACGTTGAAGGTCAATTTGGCTCCACAGTTTGAAGGTATGTTTTATAGTTTTTCTGTAGGTTTTTATCGTTTTGTTTCTTTCTAAAAGTTAAAGTAAATAGATATATGCAAAACGATCTAAAAAAGGGACCTAGTGTCCAAAATCAAGCGAACTAAAAATGGTTTACCACTCTATTTAAAATTATGAAAATCTTAAAAATTAGTTTTTGGGCACTAAATTCCTTTCCTCGGATAGCTTCACACATTCAAATGGTTATATCTTTAACATGACTTTTATAATAATAATTTTGAGAAAGAAAAAGGGCCATTCCACGCGTAACGGATAGGACAGTTGCCGTGTTTTTATTTACAAAATAATATTGTTCTATTATATTACCAATGTCAAATTTTTATAAATAGTTCTAAACTAAAGCTGTTTAACAAGGTTTTTATTTGGCAAAATTAGGTATCGTGGTTGACTGTTTAATTCCTTAAAAACTAATAATTTAAAGAGTAACGGACGGGACTTTGTAATAGTTATTAATAATAGTTTTTTTATGTTATAAGGCTGGAAAGTGATACAATTATACAATTATTACAATAAATATTAAAAGAACAAAGTGAGGTTATTGTAAGTACGTTTAAATGTATCGTTTAACAAATAAAAATGTTCCTTAAACATCTTCGCTTAATTGTATGACATATGTATAAATATGTATTTATTGAACTAATGTTAGGAATCAATATTTGGACATTAAATCCAGTAAATACACATATCTGTAAATGAAAGCTTCTTAAATGAAAAAAAATAATAAAAAACGAAAAATACTATTTAAAAAAAAACTTAAAACTTAAAAGTTATAGAGATAAAAATATTTAAAAAAAACTACAAAATTGTATACAGGGTGTCCCATAATTAACGTGCCATACTTTAACAGCAGATTCTACGTGCAAAAATAATAAAAAAATCCTATAAACATAGGTCGAGAATTGCTTTCTAAGGGAGCTACAGCCCCCAAAAGAGGAGCCCCTGATGGTTTTTATTTAATATCTTCAATACCGATAGAAACGTGAAAATTTTGGAAATTCATCAAACTTTTTATAGCTAATACGATATATTTATAACAATTTTATTTTTTTTATAGGGGGTGGGTAAGATAAATAGGAAGTAAGGGTAAAACTATACTAACTAAGCCTATGACGGCTTAGGAAAAATTATTCAAGACAGGTGGCATTTTATGCAATGTAACACGAAGTTTGATCAATTCTCAAAATTTCATTTTTCCATTCGAGGGGCTGTAGCTCCCTTAGGCAGCATTTCTTGATCTATGTTTATAGGAACTTTTTTCCTATTTTTGTACGTAAAATCTGCTGTTAAAGTATTGCACGGTAATTATCGGACACCCTGTATAAATTATTAAACTAAAAAACTTGAAATCCAAGTAGGTCAATTAAATTAGAGAAAATCTGAGTAATTTCAATTTGTAGAAATTGTATATCCCCCAATTTTAAAACCAGTGCATTTTTTATAAAATAGATCAATGATTTTAGTAGCTAGGTAAAATATGAAAGCCCCTATAATTATTTCTAGTTGATGAAGTTTTAATAAGTAATTTTATAGGACCCATTATTCATAGAGTGTAACAGTCACAATTTAATGATTTTTGATATTAAAACGATATTAATATTAAAACAACTAAATTTGAACATTTTTAGAAGTTCTAGTGTAGGTACTAAAATCAACTAAATAATTAGATTGGAAATGTAGGTATAATTGAAGTTTTTCGTGTCAATAAATTGCAGAATAATTCAGGATGTAACAAAAATAAACGTTTTAGGTAGGGACATCGAACACAGCTACGAAGATTCAGATTGCAATGACAACGAAAATGACAAAAAGAGTAGGTTGGTTACACATTAAACGTAGCAGTAGCCGAATGGTAGATGATTGCACTTGTATATAATTATTAGTTAAATACAATGTTTTTTAAATTCGTATAATATTAACCCAGTAAAACACCATACATACTTATTATAATAAATAATTTTATCAGAGCGTTTAGAACTCCCACAAACTCTACCATCCATCAAAAACGTGTAATTTCTCAGAACGGTTTCAACACAAAAAACCGTTTAAAAAATAATAACTATTATTTAATATGTACTCTACTACTAACTATTACTTTAATTGCGTAATCCAGGTGGTATCAATGAAATTAAAAGCATTGCAATTTGCTTGACAAAAGCTTTACAGACCGAAGAAACTGGGCCGCCATTTAAGATGTTCAAACTATTAGTTAATTAAGCTTTTATCGCGCTATTATTTTCGGAAATGTTACATTTAACTTTTTGTAACGCCTTTTTAAAGACGATCCACTATTTTTTTTATTATTTCTTAGTATACAGTTTTTTGTTACACAGTAAACAAATCAACTTTAAGCAACACTAATTAGAGTTCACACAGGTCCACACTAAATAGTGTTGTTTTATAACACTACAATTAGAGTTAATTTATAGTGTAATTTTCCCCAAGTAAGCAAGTATGATTTAACACTATAGCACTGAGGATAAAGTAATTTTACACTGTATTAAAAAGTGTTAATTTTCCTAAAATCGTATACTTCTACACTTTCTGGGTAAAATCCCACTTTTGTTCAGTGTAAATTAACACCACTTTGGAAAAGTTATAATTTTAGAAAGGTACTTTTACTCTTTTAGTTCAAACTTCTAGTGTAAATTAACACTATTATTTGAGTAAAACCTATTGGTGGTAGTGAATAAAACGAAAAGGTAAATAAAGAGAAACATTTATTTGGAACAAAAATCTATGACAATTATCAAAATCGGTGCCTTTTAAAATATAATTTTATATTTGAGTCGTATGGCTGTCTTAAGTAAAATGGTTCCTTAAAACGTAAAAGTTTTAGATCAATGCAATGTTTTACTGGCTGTCAACTTGTAAGCAATGAATTATCTTGAGAATTCATCAATAATCCATTTTTCTGTTATGAAAAATGGGTGATCCCATTGGTAGAGAGGCGTCAGGCGGCTGTATATCGGGGATTTACCACACGTGTGCAAATTTTCGATAATATTAATAAAAATGTAGGTATAGGTTAATATAACAACCACTACGCTTGAAAATAAAAAGTTAATCAAGTGTGTATGTATTTATATTATTAATGTTACAAGTACCCGATCTCGGGTATGGACATCTTTTTAACATAATGGTATTTATTGAGTATTAAGGTTTAAAGAAAAAGGAAGTATAATACTTACCAAAAAATGAGAATGTCCTCTTATGGATTCACCGTAATTAAAATCTAACTGAACAAAAATGCCACACTTCCACAACGCGGTATCTCCGGATATGCACTGCATAGGTACCAACCAAACATTTTAAAACGCATTTCGGTTATTACCAGTTTTTTCAGTCTATTTTGCCACTATTGGTGTAATTTAACTTTAATTGTGATACAATGTGCACTAGTAGTGTAAAGAAAAAGAGCTCTTAGTAACATCAAAACAGACAAAGAAATTGGCATGCACTGTACTCTACATTTTGTCACTATTTAACACATTAAGGGGTAATAAACACTCGCATTAAGTTTTTCCATCCTTTTAATTTATTTTAATAAAAAATAGTGTGAATGTACCAATGAATAATGTTTATATTCTTTAAATGTCCTCTTATGGATTCACCGTAATTAAAATCTAACTAAACAAAAATGCCACACTTCCACAACGCGGTATCTCCGGATATGCACTGCGTAGGTAAATAGGTACCAACCAAACATTTTAAAACGCATTTCGGTTATTACCAGTTTTTTTAGTCTATTTTCCACTATTGGTGTAATTTAACTTTAATTGTGATACAATGTGCACTAGTAGTGTAAAGAAAAAGAGTTCTTAGTAACATCAAAACAGACAAAGAAATTGGCATGCACTGTACTGTAGATTTTGTCACTATTTAACACATTAAGGGGTAATAAACACTTGCATTAAGTTTTTCTACCCTTTTGATTTATTTTAATAAAAAATAGTGTGAATGTACCAATGAATAATGTTCATATTCTTTAAATGTGTTTAATAAAGTTAATACACAGTAGAAAATATTTCGGTGTAAAGTTACCAAATGGAGTGGTTAAATCATTTGGTGTTAATTTATACACTAAAATTGGTCAAAAATATTAAGTGTTTATTTTAAATTGTGGTAAAATTCATTCGTGTTAATTTAAATTTATTTTACACAGCACCGTGTCAATCTAGTGTTAATTTAAAGATAAACTCGACGCAGTGTACATTTGACACTATTATTTGTTGACAGCTACACACATTGTGGTAAAAAAAGTCACGTAGTCATCACCATTCGACAAAGGAGCAATCAGTAGTCCAAATGCAGTTGATGGTAGTGTACCTATGCATGCTATTTTAAGACCATGGTTTTTAAATTAAAATTCAGTGGTCGGGTAAAGTGGTGCAATGTGACAGTGGATGCAACTTATGTTTGTGATATAACATGTTTTTTTACCTGTGATTTTTAAGTGAAATATGAAATTTAGTAAAATTTTAAGTTTTTTGAGCTAGTGAAAAATCATATTTAACTTATATACCTATATAAGCTAAATATGGTTTTGCACAAACTGGAAAAAACTTAAAATATTAAGTACTACTTTTCTTTCAAATAAAAAAAATTATTAACTCTTCTTGGGTATAAGAATTCACCTAAGTAGTGTTAATCATTTTTTTTTAATTTTATGCCAAAGCCTATTTGTATTCATATCTAATAGTTTGTAAGTAATATAAAATATACTTTATTTTACAGTACATGCTGTGTTTAATATTAAAACACCCACCATTTTTAACACCGACATGTGTAGTAAATTACACCAAATTGAGCATTTTCTATTCTTGAATGGAGTTCTTTTACCAATATTGCGTGTTGCTTTTACCCCTAAGAGTGTATTATATTTTATGATTTTTACACTGTTACGAGTTTTTTGTACGAATAGTACGTGTAGATTTTTAACCAATTAAAAAGGGTAAAATTTACCAAATTGTATGTGGTTAGATATACCATTTCTAGTGTGGACCTATATAGACCACTTTTGGTGTTGTTTTTTACCAGAAATTTTTTACTGTGTAAGCACTAAATGCTACCTAGTGTATTTTGTAGTGTGACTTTTACACTTACAAATCAACTCTAATATGTTTACCCCTACACTAAAAAATTTACACTGGCACAATTTTTTACTGCGTAATAAGGTAATTAGTAATAAGGCAAATTGTTACATTTATCATTTGCAGGCAGGAAAAAAGGAGGCGGCGGCGGCAAAGGCAAGGGTGGCATGATGATGATGGGTATGATCGGTATGGGTTGCATGATGGCGCAGATGATGATGGGCAAGGTGGCGTTCATGGCGGGTGCGGCCCTGATAATCGCCAAAATAGCTCTAATTTTGGCGACCATGGGAGGAATGAAGAAAATGTCTGGAGGCGGTGGTATGATGAAAGACTAATTAGACTAATAATGACTAAATGTGCTGTAGGTAATTAAAGCTTATAGATATAAAGTTAATCAAAACAAAATAAAAAAGTTTTTCTCAATATTAATTTATAATTTATAATAGCGCATTTCCATCTTAAATCCATTCAAATATCTGAGGTAGTAAAAGCATACTAAAAATATCAATTCACTAAGTAAATTAAACACATCCAAAGCAATCGAATCAAATATAAAATATTCTTAAAAATTAACTGAAATAATTTTTATATCCATTTAAGTAAGTGTTACAAGTAGATTTTTTTTTAAATATTTTTTGTATGTAAAATTGTATTTTTAAAAAATATTATATGTCAAAAGATACAATAACTTATTTCAAATATACAAAGGGATGTTTAAAAAATCATACGAAATTCTAACGTCCGTGAAGCTATCTTCCGTGAAGCTCTAACATTCAAATTGTATGATTTCTTAAAATTCTTGCATTAGTGCAGAACCACTTATGTTATGTTATTACTAGACCTGGTGGCTTCCCAAAAACTCCATTCTAGACTAACAATGAAACAACCAAAAATAAAAAATAATCATTTTCACTTGGGGGACATCTCAATATATTCACCCAAATGCGATAACTTGGCCAAAAATGTTTCGATCGTTAAATTTTTTTTTTAATGTTACTACATACCAATAAAATTAAGTAAATTTACTAAATTTTTTTTAAATTATTTTTTCTGGAAAAGAAAAAAAATTGTGATCATAATTTTGACATTGCCACATTTTTTTTACTTCATATTTTTTTAGTTTAAAGTTAATAATATAATAAACTTTTACCGAAAGTCCCAAGTTGGCTAAATTCGTCGTTTCGGAATTAATATTTTTTTAATGAAAATGCCATTTTCTAGTAAATTCGTGGTTCATCGCAAAAATTTGGTATTTATCTAGGGTCATGAAACTGGGGTGACCTTTATAAAGTGTAATTTGTGTCACTTCCGGTTCCACCGGAAATTTTAATAAAACACTATGCTTTTTTACATATTTCGATTCAAAATAAAATTCTGAATACATATATATGTCATTTGTCAATTTTTGACAGGTCAAATCATTTTTAAAATTTTATGGCTTTTCTGCTTCATGTTGGGCCAAGTAGTCTGGAAAAAATACAATTTTATTCTTTTTTGCAATGCTGGTTTTAGGAGCTTTCAAAAATAGAAAAACCATACTTTATGCCAAAACTATTTTTTTATACAATATATAAAACAGGATGATGGGGTCGATTTGAGATGGGAAGACCCAATATTTATTTAACTTTTAAAGCGTGTTTAGAATTTATTTTGTTTTGAGGATTTTTAACTATTAATGGTAAAGGGCTTTTAGAAGGCATGTTGTATATAATTTTCCAAACCTTTCCCATTTTATTAAAGCGGTTAAATAAGAAAAAATGCGTAAGTACAAGTTTATTAGGCGCGTTACATATATTAGACAAGATATATCGAATTTTAAATTGCCCAGCACAACCGTCGGTAAAAAATGTTATATGTTCTAAAGTGGAGCATTTAATTTTTAAATGGAAAACTATTTTCTTTGTAAAAGTCCAGACTAAAGACTTATCATGAGATAAATTATTACTTAAAATGGCATACGAAATCTTTTCTTTGGCGTTATTTAGTCATACGTCAAAGGCAGCGTTTACAGCTTCTGTATTTTTCAGTACGTTTTTTCTTTTAGCCCTTCTTCTTTATCCCCAGTTTTTTTAATTTTTTATATTTCATAGGGTCTGTTTTAATTTTATCTCCGCTTTTTCGTGCAGCTACAGCTGAATCCATATCTAAATAAAAGATAGTTTTAGCATTTCGAAGGGTGACAAGAAAAAACCTTATTTATTTTTTGTAGTCCATTTTTAACAATGTTTGAATATTGAATTTTTTGAATTTAAATTTGATGTATTTTTTTATAAGATTTATATTTCTTTGCCAAGCAAGGAAATATATATATTTACATTATATATATATATATATATTTTTAACTTTGGAATTTTATACGTCTATATTGAATCAACTTATGGCAAGGAACATCTTAGATTTTTATAGTAAATTTAACGCTCTATAAAAAATGTCTCTTATAATTTTTCTATAAATTGATTTCTTCCAGAGTTATTCGAGGCCAAAGTTTGATTTCCATCGAATTTTCTCGTTTTTTTCAACTTTTAGCATCATGTAGTAAAAAAATCACATATTTATATCTGAAACATAGGAAGTGTTGTAAAAAAAACAAAAAAAACAAAAAAACGTCACTTTTTCCAAAGCCTACTACAAAGTTTTAATGAAAATATGAGATGTGTATAATATGCAGAGTAATTTATATATAAATGCATTTTTCTCGAAAATGGTGCATCTGAGCAATTCAAATTAAGAGTACCTATTTTTCGTAAAAAACTATAAATTCTCATAATTTTATAAAAAAATTAAATTATTAACCCAGAAAAAGTTGGGGCTATTTTTGTAACTTTGCCCCCTCCAAATGTTACGCCTATGATTAAATTTTAATAGTTTTGATCATAGATCTAGATTCAGCATGTCAAAATTACCAAAGTACCAAAAGTTCATTTGTTCATGTTCAACCCTCTAGGAATAGTTTTAAAAAAATTATCCTCTTAGGCTCCTATTCAGGGGGCCGTAGCTCCTTTAGGGAGCATTTTTTGATACATGTTTATTAAACAAAAAAAGTGTTATTTTTATACGAATAATGCACTGTTTAAGTTTGGCCCCCTAATTTCGGGACACCCGTATAATGATAATTGTACCAAAACTGTTAAAAAAACGCGAAAATTCGATGGAAATCAAACTTTGGCCTCGAATAACTCTGGAAGAAATCAATTTATAGAAAAATTATAAGAGACATTTTTTATAGAGCGTTAAATTTACTATAAAAATCTATGATGTTCCTTGCCATAAGTTGATTCGATATAGACGTATAAAATTCCAAAGTTAAAAAAAAAAATTACCTATGTTATTTAAATGGGAAATAGAAAATTGCGATCCGCGACCTCTAAATCTTCAAATTAAAAGCTCAAATTTTAACGAGGTCTTTGTTTTGACATCCTCTGAAAGAATTTGCTGACCATTTGAAGAAAAAGAAAAAGTCGATTTTTTTGAAACACCCTAATATATATATATATATATATATATACATCTTATTTAAATTCAAAAAACCTTATACCTATCTTGATATTTTATTTAATTAATTATTTAAAGAAAGTATAAAAACGGTATTTTTTAAATATTATAGTATAAATACTTATTAAATTTAGATGCAGAAAAACTGGATTTTACCTACTGCACCTGCATTTACAATAACTTATAACTGATTTTTAAATAGATTAACTTAAAAAGTTACAAAACTCGCCATAGTGTGACGGGTGGGACAAATTATAATAATTTATAAAAAAAAATAAATTTTAATTAATAGACTTTAAATTATCCCAAATATTTGATATTATTGACTTTATTTGCTATTAAAATCTGCTTTCAAAAAAATGATTATTTCTATTAAAATCTAAACTATTTTGGTTTTTTTTTGTCGGGTGCGACAAATAGGCATGTCAATTAAAACAATTAATTTAACAAATAATAACTTACCTTCTGTTGATAAACGTTAAACAAGCATAACAATAAACATCTATTTGAATAAATTTTTATGTTGGTCAGTTCTTAAAAAGAGCCAGATCATTAATACAAAGCCAAATTATTTACTTATATTTTACATCGAAACTAAATAAACGAATTAAATAAGTTTAAGTTAATAAATAAATACTACATTTTAATTTTAATATTTAGTGTGTATTGTTTTTGTTTATTTTAAGCCTTTAAAATTTAATATTTATACAGGGTGTATCACGGTCGATGGTAGGTTAGACGTTTATGGAGAACGGCAAAAGATTTCGAATTGAAATTTTTATAGCAATTATAATATCATTTAAACTATTTTTCTAAATTATTTTGAACAAAATACCTCTTCCGGTTTTAACGGAAGCGACATCAACTTTGTTATTTTAAATGGATCATCACAATTTTTTTTACATTTCTAAATTCCTACCATAATTCCTTGTAAAATGGCTATACCATGTCCTATACCTAAACTTAATAGTTTTTGAGTTAATAATTTTTTTTGTAAAATTCGGTCAGTTTCACCCTCAACAAAAAGAGCTTATAACTTTTTTATTATTAGGTTTGCTGATATTTGGTTGGATTTATTGGAATCCTGAAGAATTCTTTTAAAGATTTCATATAATTTATTTTAATATTTTTAAAAAGATACTTGATAAAAAACAATGTGAATGTAGCTAACTTAAAACAGCAATAACTTTTTTATTTTCAATGGAACGCCCTGTATATTTTTACATAATTAAATATGAAATTATAATACCTTTTCATTGGTATAACTATTCCCTATACCTAAAGTTAAGAATAACAAAGATATTTTACAATTCCTACTATTTATTATGTATTTTAAATTTTTAAATATTAGTTTTAAATTAATAAACAAGACAAGTGGAATATACGAATGAGTTTCAAAAATCATATGACAAAAAATAATATTAATAAGAACAATATTTTTTTCGGTCTTTGTAAATAAAAGCACTCTCTAAAAATGAATTAGTCAAAAATGACTAATTTAATAGTTATTAGTGGCTGCTTTTTCACTTGTACCATGGTTAACCATGGTATCCCAAAATTTAACAGTCAATTCTTACATAATTATGTAAAATTGTCCCCAGAATCCAAAATTTAAAAAAGTAGAACAGTTTTTGAGATATAGAACCTTCATTAAAAGATATAAGATGTTTTAAATTAACGAAAATTGTTAATAAAATAGTTAAAATGGAGGAAAATCACTATTCAAATGAAGTTTTTATGAACTTGTTTATTCTTCATTGACAATATGACAAACTTATTGATAGAAAATGCAGAAACTTTTTGTATGTTGTACCTTTAATTTGGTTATCCATTAAGCATAAATATTTTCAACTTCTTTTGAGTAGTTATTTTCCTTTATTTTAATAATAATAAATATCGGGAAAGTTTTGTAATTCATATCAAATTAATACACATAAGCAACATTTTTTTAGTTTTTCTTCATATTATTAGGTTAATTGTAAAATATCTTTCTTAATATTAACTTTAGGTATAGGGAATAGTTATATCAATGAAAAGGTATTATAATTTTATTTAATTATGTAAAAATATACAGGGCGTTCCATTGAGAATAAAAAAGTTATTGCTGTTTTGAGTTAGCTACATTAACATTGTTTTTTTACAAGTATCTTTTTAGAAATATTACAATAATTTACATGGAATCTTTAAAACAGTACTTTAGGATTTCAATAAATCCAACCGAATATCAACAAACATTATATTAACTGACCAAATTTTACAAGAAAAAATAATAACTCAAAAAGTATTAAGTTTAGGTATAGGACATGATATAGCCATTTTATAAGGAATGATAGTAAGATTTTGAAATTGTAAAAAAAATATGGTGATCCATTTAAAATAACAAAGTTGATATCGCTTCCGTTAAAACCGGAAAAGGAAATTTGTTCAAAATAATTTAGAAAAATAGTTTAAATAATATTATAATTGCTATAAAAATTTCAATTCGATATCTTTTGCCGTTCTCCATAATCGTCTAACCTACCATCGACCGTGATACACCCTGTATATTAAATATTAAATGTTTAATTTTGACAAAAAAGTTAAAATTTTCGTGGAATGTCCCTGGTGCAGGACTTTTGAAACTGATTGTAGAAGGATACTTGGTGCATGCATATAAAATATTTCTTTCTTATTTTAGGAAGTGACACCCACGTGGTCTGGGCTGCTCCGGCCGGCGGTGACGGTCACAGCCATGGGGGCGGCGGCGGCGGCGGCGGCGGCTGGCACAGATCCATCGACGCGGCCGACAACTCGAGACTGGCCTACAGCGCTCAGATCACGGAGAACCAATTTAGCGGGTACAAATAATTGGATTTGTTTGTGGGATTTATTGTGTTTAATGTTTAAGTATTTATTTATTTATTTATTTTATTTATTTATAATGTTTGAGTAAGGCTGCGGATTGTTTTAGATTATTTAAATTTAAATTTTGCATAAAAGTAACCTGTTTGGGTAATATGTTACGCTGCAATAGAAGACGTGTTTTTATTTTATAATTCGCAATTATTAATGATAATAAATTTGTAGATTTGTATAAAAGAAATAAAAAGTAATAAATTATTTGTGTTATTTTATTTATCCAAAAATGTGTTTCTTTTATGCAAAATGTAAATAAAATATGTATTGCTCTAGAAGTTTTAAAGGGTTTGAATTTTACTCAAAAGCTGCCTTGATCTACAAGCTATGGATGCATGGGTAATAAACTGCATAAAATACGGAATAATTTTGTATACATCCAACTTCACTCATATTTGAGCAAAGCGTTTCAAGAGAACTTCTGCAAAATTTAATAAAAGAATCATTATAATTTTAAATTTTCAGGTCAAAAATAATAGTTATTTATGTCATTAGGTTAAGAAGTATGGCTTTTTGTGCTAAGCTCAAGGTTTGAAGGCCGACGCGTAGCGGAGGCCTACAATTGAGCGAAGCACAAAAAAGCACTTCTTAGCCGAATGGCATACAACATTTTATCTTCAAAGCACTTTATATAGGTCAATTTAATTCAACATCAAAGCGGCCTAACCCCACTTTTTAGAATCTCATTTATTTATTAGCTAAAGATTACATTAAATGTACAATAATTAATATTGCTTTTAGAAGCAGTAATAGTTTGACAATACCTAGCAACATGATTTAAGTAGAAATGGATTTTTGTTATTACATGGAATTCAATTAATTGTTTAATAAATCGGTAGGTATCTAATTTCAATTTGTTTGGATTTTTATTTAAAAAATAGGTACTTTGGAATGTTTAAGCTGTGTTTAACATTTAATTTCACTGAAAACTTAAAGCAAATTAAAACTTAAAGATAATTTAAATCGTAGAAAAAGAATCGTGCGTTTTCTTGGTTGCCTACCTCACTTTTTGTTTTATTATTCATATTTAATTTTACAATAATTTAATAAAAAATATTAAACATTAACAGTAAAACAAACAAATTAGTGCTTATTATAAATAAATTAAACCAGTTTAGTACGTTAGTTTCTTAGAAAAGGATTAATTTGTCAAAACAATACCCCTAGCGAAAAAAAATCGAACCAATTACTTGCCTCATAAAAATTTTTATCGGCCTAGGCTATAACAAGGTATTTCTTTATCGAATGTTGACAACAATAAAGTTTAAATTATAGACCGCGTGGAGATAAAAAAAGATACAAAATACTCCTATAGCTAGAATTTTTTTCTAATTTGTATGTCATTAGAGCGTCATTTTAATGATACCTTATTTTTTTATCTAGAAAATGTCTATTTCATTGGGTTTTTTACACCAAAAATAAAATTAAATGCTTAAAAATAAAAAATTAAAATTAACTACATAGTTTTAGAACAAACATTTTAAATTTTGGACAAAATAAAAACATACGTCTTTTAATTTTGTACTTTCTGTAAATTTTAACGCAATTTTTAGTTTTTACCAAAAAGGTTTTAAATTAATATTGTTTTATTATTACCTATCATAAATTATTCCAATATTATAAAATTAATAACACGGGGCCTTTTTGTTTTTTGAAGAAAAGTCATTCCTGAAAAAAAGTTTTAATCGTCAAAAAAATAACATTTTTTTTGTAATATTTATTTAAAATTATAAATTATAAATATAAATTATAAAATGTTTTAATTGTCAAAAATAGTTATTTTTAATGCTAGATTGCGAAATGCAAAAGAATTTGGCAATTTAATATCAAAAATGTTTTCGAAAACTATATTTATATACAGGTTGTCACCAAATAAGTTGCCATCCTTTAATGGGTTGATATATCAACTATACTCTAGTATACGCTAAAATAAGAAAGTTTTTCCTTTATCATTTTTATAAAAAGTAGAAATTTTGGGCCGCCACTGATTGTTCCTGACCTATGACAACTGACTCAAAATTTGCTTGCACATTGGACAAAACTCTACATTCATTAAAAACTTACATATGTGTTATCATTGATTACTTTGTTGATAATTGTTTTTTTTGCATACTCGGCTATTTTTAGGTACTGTGAATAAAACAATACTTACTTTTTATTGTTAGGTATCTCAAGGTTTCAGTGTCGATTTTAAATTTCACCTTTCACTTTTACTTCGATTGATGCTCATGTAGCTATTTTTTTAAGTGTTCCACAAAATCATTTCTTGTTTTATCGTGTACTATCATCCCCCAAATGATAACAGTTTTTTAGGTGACACTCTGTATATATGTATATATGTATGTTTTTAAATAAATTATTAAAAATGTAAAATAGAAACCATGTGGTAAATTCTTTGGCAATCAAAAAATTTTTTCCAGAATTATTTTTTTCGAAAAATTATTTATTAAAAAACTTTTTTAATTGCAAAAAACTTTTTCTTATTTAAAAAAAAATTAGTTGAATTGAATCGATTTTATGTTTTTCTAATTTTTAAACACCCTGTAGATAAAAATTTTCAAGAAATGGTATTTTTTCGACGATCAAAACTTTTTATGACCAAATGCAAAGACTTCTTCACTATGGTTTTGAGACCAACTAGAAAAAATATGAATACATTACGCGATTTTTAACAATTCGAGATTCAGTTATAAATTATAAATGTCTCAACTATTGCCTGAAATATTTTATGTCATTGGGTTAAAAAAAATCAAAACTTTATAGAGGTGGCTCCAAGTATTCTTCTATGTGTTTACATATGTTTTTAATTTTATTTTAAAAGTTTCAATTTCAGTTATATCAGAAAAAGTTTTGTACAAACTACAAACCAAAAACCGTTATAACTTTTTATTCCTGAAAATTTTGAAAAAATTAAGTTTAACATTGAAACATACACTTTTTATTTAATAATTCACAAATTATTTGCAGGTTTTTTTTCAATTTTAAAGTGGACTAATTACGCAACTCACCAACATTGTACATTGTACAGATAATAAAGATACCCCTGTATATAATTTTTGTTCCTATTAATACAATACTATATTTGCAGTAAAGGTTCCAAAATATTATGAGATTTAAATTTAAGTTAATAAAAATTAAAAAAAAAACTTTCTTAATTTATGGAAGCTGCTTCCTTTTGCAGAAATATGGCAACACCGCTGCTGGTGTCGACAATTGCTTGCAGGGATTCATGATATGGAAATATTGGCACCCATCTCTTTTAAGACACAACGCTTCCATATTTACTCAAATTTGTTCATTTATATGTACGCAATTATTAAATATTGTCACAAAAAATTGACTTATCAGTAACTTATATGCTCTCTAAAAATGAATTAGTCAAAAATGACAATTAAATAGTTATTAGTTGGTGCATGGTATCCCAAAATTTAACAGCCAAATCTTGTAAAATTGTCCCCTGAATCCGAAAAATTATGAACGTGGAGCAGTTTTTCAGATATAGTCAATTCTATATTAAATGGAAAATTGACAATATCTCAAAAACTGTTCTACTTTTTTAACAGTATTTTTGGATTCAGGGGACAATTATACATAAGAATTGGCTAAAAAATTTTGGGATACCACAGAATTCCATGGTTAACCATGGTACAAGTGAAAAAGCATCCTCTAATTATTAAATTAGTATTTTTTGACTCATTTTTAAAGTGGTTATTTAATGTTCAGAAATATAATAAAGGTATGGGATACTAGGGTTGTTTTAAAAAATAATATGGTCATTACAGCAGAAATAATTTTTTATATTCGTTTCTAAAACTGAAAACTAAAAATAGTTTTACATTATTTAAATTAATTAATAAAATCCTCATTATTTAACAGATGTCCAGCAGAACGAAAATGAATTTCTACTTTCAACTGTTTTATTGTTTCTTTGTTTATTTATTGTATTATTAAAAATATTAAATTTGTTGTTAATTTTAATTTGTAAAATGTACATAAATTTGGTTAATTATTTTTATATTTATTTATTTACTATTTATGCGATTTTTTGTTATGTTATTGAGTTGTTTGTAATAAAATGATTAATAATTATCTTTTATTTAACAATCCAAATCATACTGTTTGTGCAAAAACGTACTTTGCATGAAAGAGTCGTTAATCAAGTAAAATTCGCTTTTTCATTTAACAATTTATTTCGATAAATCATCGAAAGAATATTTAAGGAATCCGAGACATTAAAGACGGTTGCGGTGCTTTTAAATTCAATGGTTACTGTTGTAATTTGTCATCAACCTGTGCCAGATAAACAACAAGCAAAGAGAAAATATGTAGGTAAGAAGTTCTCTCCCACATACATATTTAGGTATACAACATCACTGATGCTGCGTTAATCGACAAGTTTTTTAGATACTATAGTATACTCTCTTAAAATGAATTAGTCAAAAATAACTAATATAATATTTGACTAATTGTCATGGCGAAAAAGCAGTCATTAATAATTAGTCAAATTCTACTGAATGAAATAGTCAAATTAGTAGATTTAAACCTAGCCGGGGATTGAACTCAGGTCAGTCACTTGTCAAGCTGTTGTCATAACCCATTTGGCTATCAGTCGCTCTTGATTTTATTTGTCAATAAATATTATATATTATTTGTGTTGCTGTTTTGAGCTAAGCTTTTTGCATCTTTGTTTGTTTTTTTGAATTAGAAATATCCGTTGGGCACTAGAAGAGTAGCCCCAACATACAATACCATATCGAATATAGGATTCAAAATTTGAATAATAAAACGACTTACAAGTTGAAACATTACAAAATTGATCGAAGTCTTCCAAGTGCAAAACAATTTTTGGAAATTTTGTTACAAACCTCAAACACATGATAGTCCCATTTAAGATTTGAATCAAGATTGATAGGTACCTAAAAGCAGAGTTGCGAGATTTGTACTTAAAAAGTATTGCCATTAGAATATTTAAGTTACTTGAGAATGGAGAAAATAAAAATTATCAATACATTTTTTACTCTAAATTGATTTAAAGTAAAAATACAAAAATAATTGTACTTTTTAATTTGAATAAATAATATTTTTTAGTACTTCGTAATGCAAAAAGTAAAGTCAAAGTAAAAAATTGATTGTACTTAAAATATAAATGAAAATACAAGTACCAAGAATACATCGTCCTTCAAGTCATTGTATATTGTAAATAATTTTAATCAGAATCTAAAACTATCTTTATGCATATATTTAATATAATTGATAAACCTTTTTACAAATATTTTAATTATTGACATGTAAGTATTTAATATTTGTTATCAACCATTGTATTGTTACTTTAAACTATTAATTTTATCATTATCATGTTAACATAACCTTATAATAATTTTACATATTTTTGTAGTTTGCCTGAAGAT